GCTGATTGGAATATATTTCATGTTGAATGACAGAAATGTGATTTAAAAGGGGAGAAACGATAGAAATGTGATAGTGTGGAAACTCTGCTAAAATGATGAATGCACGAGGCGCGGGAATTATCGCGCTGAAGGTACAACAATTCAGAGAGTGAGTCTGAACAATGTTGGGTCTTGCAGAACCTAGCTGCTATTCGACCCTAAAGGGTTTCTGGACCAGGCTCAAGGCTCAGAGAAGAGGAAATATGATAGAAAACTACTGAAGACTCTGACTCCTACTGGTAACTGGTGAAAAGATAACTTGCTTATGTAAGCTACAAAAGTGCCAACATAAGGTAAGGTAAAAACAGTCTCTACAAGCCCAGCCAGAAATGAATCCCTACAGCGCGATGTGCGCGATCATGGCATGTGAACAAGGGGCGGTGCGAAGATGAAATCAAAGTGTTTGGAATTGTCATATAGCTCCTTAAGAGCTTTAAACATGAAAAAGACAAAAAGTGCGAAATGAGACAAGGGTAAATATACAATGCCTCTAGGCGTGCGCATTGCACGTCCTCAGGTGCAATATGGTGCGCCTGAGTCACCCTAGGGTCGCCTGAGACATGCTCTGCTTGGTGGTTGGGCAGCGTGATGCAGGGATGCTTTACTGGCAAGTGATAGTCACTAGATGCAAAAAGCGTGATGTGTGCGTGATCATTAGTGACAGATGGAATTACCAGAGGCAAACTCTGGTTGATGCGAGGTGTGACTTGAGCCTCTGATGCAGTAGAAGGCTCCTCTATAGGCGCACAAAGGCGCAATAGATGTTTAGAGTCATCCCTGACCTCTGATGATGCGAACGGCGATACTGTATAATTTCGACCTTAGGTTCGTCACACCGTCGCAAGCCCGACGAACCTAACCTATTTTTTGTGACAGTCACAGCTGTTTTTGGTCAACGAACCTAATTTTGTGACATAACATATGATATGTTTGTTTTTAGATATGTTTTTTTATGAAAACATTCACTTGACCACTTTTTTTCCCTCCTCATTGTCATTTTTGAACTATATTTGTGTAGAAAGTACATATATTATCTTACTACATATGAACCTTGTGAACTTATTGTAAGTTTGTCACAGCTGTCCTCGAGAGACGAACCTGTCACAAAACCATTAGGTAATGCAGTGCAGAAATTCCCACGAACCTAAGGTCAAAATTATACAGTAGCAGTGATGGTGATGGTGCGATTGGCAAGATTTCTTCCTTAAGCGATGCAATAGCGATAGGCGAGTGTGCTTCAAGCGATGGCGTAACAACTTCTACAATGGGCACGTTATTGTGCAATAGATGTTTAGAGTCATCCCTGACTGAGGGCGATGTGATAGCGATAGGCTCGCATATTTCAAGCGGTGCGTTAGTGTGCAATAGATATTTAGAGTCATCCCTGACTATCGGCGATGTGATAGATGCTGACGTGGGCAGCAAATGAGAATTGTCAGCGTGCAAAACAGGTGATGAAAGAGATGATGATGAAGGTGACGAGGCACCTGCGGTGCGCTTCTGGTTGCGCTTTGCGAGCGCGCGCTCGAGTTCGTGATCTAAAGGGATGCAGTCTGGTATAGCTTCTTATGCTGGCGCAGTTGATGGTTCAGGTGCGTGTGAATCGCACGAAGGCGCGGGAAAAGCGCGCGCGTGAGGTGCGAGAATAGGAACTGGTGGCCTTTTGTCAAGTACAACATCTGAGGGTGTGCGATAGAAGAGTCCAGCTGTCACACTAGCGCTAGTGGTCGTATCCTGGGTTGTGTGGCTCGCGTGGTATTGATCTTTGCGCTTAGTTACCATGGCTTGCACCAGTGCTTGCGCTGGCGCGGTCGCTGTAACTAAGTTCGCAATTAGCACTACCACGGGCGTGCTAACTGGCACGCTTGGTGCGGGAAAAGCGCGCGCAGGTAATAGGAACTGTGCAGCTGCAAAGACATCCATAAATGGATATGGGTCATGTGGATAGTGGTCGGGGAACTTGATCATAAGGCGCAAGCGAATTTGCGCCTGTGCATCTCTGGGGATTCCTTCCATGAATAAGCGGTCACGTTCGGCCTTTCCAATACGGTCTTCATCCATAAGTGGCTGCATAACCTTCCTAAATGCGCGCAAGTAATTGCTTAGTTCTGTGCAAGAGGGCATCGGTTTGTTAGCGTATTCGCGTGCGATGGCGCGTAGATCCACGAGTGCGTAGCGCCTCTTTCCATCCCATCCAGGATACATTACCTTAACTTCTGCCATGAATGCATCATAATCATCTACTGCCGCTTCAGGCATGCCTCCCCATAGTTCTCGATCATCGCGTTCAAGGTAGCGAATAATACCTTTGATGTGGTCAAGCCCTTGGAGTCCTGCTTCATCAGCGAGCTGCTCATATGCGTCAATGAAATTGGTGAGGTTGTCTGTAGTGCCGTCAAATTTGGGTGCATTTGTCGTGCCATGGATGGGCATTCTATAAGGCATTGAAGCGCGGGAAAGGCGCGCGCACGAGGCACGAGAATGCGCGACTAAAAATGGTTAGCTTGTGAAAATGCAAAGAGATTGACCTATATGCGCTAAATGGTGCTAAGTGCAAGGGTGCGTAGAACTAGATCTTGCTGACTGTTCCCCTCGCGGTGGGCTCCAGTTGAAGGTTCAACGATACTGAGAGGAACAAATGATGCTCCTGACTGTATCTATAAATGTTGTGAGGTCGCGCGTTGCCTAGTCTGCTATACTTGACACGACAAGTGCATTCGACCCTAAAGGGGAAGCAAGTGCAGCAAGGATCTAGAAGTAGGGGCTACTGGTTGGCTGATGCGAAGCGCAGGAAAGCGCAGGCGAGCGCACATATATAGAGATATGGAATGTAAGTGCTACTTTCTAGGGAGAGATTCCAACTAAGCTGAGTTGTGAGGTATGAACATGGGGGTTGCTAAACTACTCTCTGGTATGTACTACTGGTGCTTATGTATGGCGCCTAAGTGCTGTCATGCGGAGCCGAAGTGCTACCGAGTAAGGTATGTAAAGATATATGTAAGTAAGGGTCCATGATAAAAATAAAGGTGGAACGATATGCAATTAAGATAAATGGAAATATACGCACTAGAGAGCTTGGTGGACAGTGGATGGATGCTTCCAGATGGCTGGCGCTATAGGGCGCTCAAGCGCGGGAAAGCGCGCGCGCATATACATCGTGAAGCGCGGGAAGTGTGCGCGCATGTTGCGTGTTGCACAGGAAAGCTGCGCCTCATATAGGAATAGCTGCAGATAGCATGCAGAGTGATGCTTCAAGTTTGTGCCATGTACTCCCTAGTGAAAACTGCCATATCACCCAATGAGAGGCATGAGTCTCTACATTGGTCATCCTGTATTAGATTCCCTAACTTGAATATACTCAATCTTCCCTCGAAACTACTTCCTTCAAGAGCCTCTCAGCTCTTGTCTCTAGTACGACTTTCTTAGGTGCTTGTTGCATCTAAGTCTACCTCGATCAACAGTCATTGTTCAGACAAGACAGTCCTTACCTTGACTTCAGTGACTTCAAAGACATCCGTCTTAGAAGCCACGTGACATGCGCGTCTGTGATATCTGCCGACTCGGCGTTGCCAGTCTCACTCGCTATACCGGATCCTTCCAGTTACGTCACGAACGTTAGCGGACGATGCCCCTCTTAGTGGTGGCCGAGTCCAGTTCAGAACCGTGGTTCGAACTCGAACCGTTATGAACTTGACCGAAGTCCAGTCCAAGGTTCGGCCAATGAGAGGAACCGAACCGTCGGTCCAGTTCCCGGTTCGATGACCTGTAGGAATTGCTGAACCTGTTCGAACAGGTTCGAACAGGTTCGAACCACGTTGATATATCAGACCGGCAGAGAAGATCGCATTAGTTGTACCTTTGAAATGAAATAAAGACATATCTGGCCGCATCTAAGTTCGATGTGCTGGTTCACGTGATTCAAGTTGCTTGACACTCTGTCGACCATGGTAACAAGCTCAACTTATTTTGCTCATCAGGCTTTACTATTGATCGGCGGCACGCATCATTGACGACACTCTTCTACACCCTCAGAACGTGCCTTTTCGAGTGGCGGATTGACGGGAACCAAGCGACGGAACCGTCTCAAAACAGACGTGTTTGAGAGCTTGCAGTTGTTGAAGAGTGCGTACTGCAATGGTCATATCTCCGCCGCCAGTGATGCCGAGCAGCACTTGGATGCACTGATTGCTGCCCTCCATGATGATGCAGATGAAGATAGCGAGTAGTTTTATTTTCTCTTTGTTGTATAGCTACTATTTTGCACTACTCTACGTCTTGGCCAAAATGAATTTTTTTTGGGTTATTTCGATGGTCCGGTTCAGGGTTCGGACCCTTGATGAACTGGAACTGGACCGTTATTGGACTGAACCGATGGTCCGGTCCACGGTTCTGTTTTTGGGGAGAACCGAACCTATGGTTCGGTTCTCGGTTCCCAGGATTTGCCAGAGAACTGGACCAAACCGGACCCGTCCATCACTAGCCCCTCTTAGGGCTCCGCATAACAGACCTATTTGAGTGTGTAACAGGGCTCTCATTAAGTCAGGCTTCATGAAGAGCTTCACTGATGGCGCCAATGGCGACGGTGACGACCATGATGTGCCTGGTTTGCCATTAAAGGGCTGTGCACGAAACTTACAGGTTCTGTGAGCAGACATCATCCTTCGGGGGGCTGGTTGGCTAGATATGCTGGTCACACCGTCACATGTAATGAGAAAGAACTGCCGGGAAGGGTAGAACTAGGCTGTGGTACTAGTTCCACATCAGCTTGGACCCATGTACATGTATCATGGACGCTTTGATGGTCTTGTACCAAAAAAGGAGTCGGGTTTTTGGGCGCATAGTCACCAGTATATGGTAGCATATGATAGGGCCATCATGTCTTTGTCTGTACAACAGCAAGCACCAGTCCCTGACTCCACTGTCTCACAAATTCCTCAATTTCTTTTCTTCCTCTGAAGGCTTGTACACATTCATAAACCACACAATCCTGTATGGGTGGTGCATTCCCAGGAAACTGGCATCAATGCTCCCCTTTCAAACACTCAGAAAGCTGGTGTACTCCAGATTTCTGTCGAAGGAATAATACTTACTATCATCTCTTCTAAACCAAAGACACGTTATATAACCATAGGTATCAATCATACAAAATATTTTACTGTGCATTATTGATGCTAGGCGCGAAACCCACCCGCGCCCCGTGCGAGTAGTCAAATACCGAGTACCCTAGACAATTACAGTCACGAGTGTTCCAGATCAAATACCATGTAATAAGGCACTACTCACATGATCTCATAAATGCATGCCCTGCAGCACGCGACATCAGCAAAACATCCAAGAAAACGAACCGAATACCCAAACAACTCACCGATGATGACAATTCCTTCCATGAATGCATCGTCCAGGCCAATGATCCCACCAATGCAGTTTCTGCGCTGGTTCAGGCGACGTACATTATATGAATACACGCTGACTTACGTTGACCCATACCCATCTTGTCCGAGCTTAAAGTCCTGGATACTGATTCCGAAGTCGTGCCCACCAAGCGAGAATGAAATCGTGGGGTTGGAGTCGCACGGGAAGGAGAAGAAGCCGGAGCTGTAGTTTGCTGCGGGGCCAGCCCCGAGTATCTACGACTTGTCAGCAAGGTGGCGAGGGAAGCAAATAGCGAGAGACTGACATTGGCGTAGATCAGATTTGCCAATGTCTGTGAAACGTATATAAAACTAGAACCTGTGTCAATCACCTGTTCATATGAAATGAGGTGAACCTGAGTGAATTTCCGGCTGATGAGTTGAACCTTACCGCATCGACGTTACCAGAGACGTAGTTCCCTTCGACAACAGCTCCGTCGAAATGCACTGTCCAGTAGGTCTGCCAATAAAAACCAGTTAGACAGGGTGATTCAAGGCGCGGGAAGATCAACCTTGGAAATAACTGAGACCCATGTCAGAGGTCCTACCGCCTTGGAAATGTCGTAACCACCCAGAGTTATCTAAAAAAATTCTTCTCGATTACGGTTATATGAACGATAGTACGCCACGTACCTTCGACCCGCTTGCCTTTCCTCTCGTTAAATGCACAGAGAAGAATGGTGCTTCGATCTTTTCCTGCATGATTAGGTTCTCGAAGAACGTTGGCTTCCCTGACGTCGCGATGGAGCTGAAACCGAGCCCGAGACACCCAGAGATCCGGTCGGAATCGAAGTTACTCGACACATCAGTGACAGCACCAAAATATTGGCTGTTGACCTTTAAGCCGCCCATGCCGATCGTATCGTACGCAAGAGTTCCTTCCGCATAGCTGAAGCCCTCCTGCCCAACAACATCAACCCAGCACTGAGATAACGGGAGGGAGACGCACATAATTCACATTGAACACATTCCCTGTAGTCCTGTAGGTTGAACTCGCAGCGGCGTTATATTGCGGGGTCACGCAATCGCCGCAGCCCACAGGAATCCAGAGATCTGCAGAACATGTGTCAAAGGCCACCGAAAGCTGTTGTGACTTCTTCCCAAATTCAAGTGGGCCGTAGAACGGGACATGGATGGCCCTCTGTATCTCATCCGTCAGGGGATCAGTCGCACTCTGAGCAGCGGCATCCATCGCAGAAAAGCTCATGTTTGCCTGCTGCGATATTGTGGTTGATCCGAACAACACAAAACCGGATAGGTCGCTTGTCGTATCGGTGAACGCCGCGTCTGACAGCGCATCGAGCCCGGGATCTGAAAGTGCATCTGGTAGCGCCACGAGGTTCTTGCCGGTCAAAAAATCAAGAGCGTTCTGGTATTTTATTTGGAGGGCTTCTATCTCGGCCATCTGGGTATACAAGTTAGTCCCGTAGAAAGGTTTATGAGACAGAAGCTCACCACAGGCTGGACATTGAAGACTGGGACGACAGTCGAGGTGACCAAGTCATGGGTGTGGTTGAACGTTCCAAAGGGATCCCGCATGTACATTGGGGGATAAAACATCATGTCATACACGGGAGAGCCCAACACGCCTACAGTCGGGAAGAGAAAGGAAACGGGGAAGCGGGGAAGCATGGTAGTGGAGAAAGTAAAGGATGAAGAAAACCCGATGGAACTGAAGGTGAAGCAGGTCTTTTAAATCCATTAGCATAAAATTCCAATCCGGACTAATAGTGTGCTCCAGTCCTGAGCTGACCCGCCAGCCCAGATTAAACACCTGCATTGAAAGAAAGGGTAGTGGCAACACCGTATTTCACTGAAGCCAGACATTAGGCAGGTAAGATTCATATCAACGAGTTAGTCAGGTCAGATAACAGGTAACTTGCCACTGCCCCAGAATTGAACAGCGCTTCACTAACATATCAGACTGAGCTGACCTTCCAGCCCAGATCAGAATGTAAAAAAAGGTCAAGACAACACTGCATTTAGCTGAAGTCATACATTGGTTGTACGACAGGCAATATGCTGCTGCTGCCGCTAACTCGTTAGCCAGAACTTTAAGCGAATTTTAATAAAACCAAACCACATTGCCTACACAATTCTCTGTATACCTGTACGGGTCTGCGTGTACAACGCAATATATCCAGCCCACCCTAGATGAATTGCACATACTGGGTTGCACTACACAAGTAGTGGGGGATGATTCTAGGTGTGATAATATCGTAAGGTAAGTGGTTCCAGGGCATTGCGAATAGTTGGTGACATTTTGTATCCATGGCACCTCTCATTCCGCCTTGAGCCTGTCTTTGGGCTTTGATCCCAACTTCTGGCCCTTACCGACACCAAGCACCTTGCGGCGCATGCGCATCATATGGGAATACATCACCCACAGTCCTACGAGAACCAGGAGTCAGCGACCAAATGCAAAATAACATGCACAACTTACCAGGCACCCAAATTGCTACCAAACCTGCCTTGACCCAGTCCTCGGTGCTCCACACTGCCCACTTGCCATTGCTCCACTCTGAAATGGTGCTCAACATGACTAGAGCCTCGCTTCCTGCGCCGATGGGATACAGGACATAAAATGTGGAATAGCGCATCCATGTCAGCCATGAAGGCACGCCGCAACCTGCAAGCGAGAGCGCGTAGTATGCATAGCGTGGCACTTCGGTCAGCGCCCAAGCAAGGATCATAGTGGTATAGACTGGGTTCGAGTGAGTATTGGGAAAGCGCTCGACGATTCCCCAGACCAGGATGAGACGCGATGAGACCTGGACGACAGTTGTCGGGAGCGGGGACCGCACAAATCCAAAAAGGACATGCAATATTTCAAGGGTGGCAAGCGACTGCACAGGTGCAAGGGCAGAGAACGTGGATTCGTATGTTGCGGGGATGTATGAATGCAAGAAATATGCGAGAGTTGTGGAGAAACTGTTGGTTGCTTTAGGCTGTGGTGTCAATAATGCTACGATTGAAGTCGGCACGTATGAAGCAAGTGGTTTGAAGAAGTCGTGTACTGAACTTGAAGCGCGTTGACCTCTGAATACGGCAAGAGCGAGGTAAATGACATAGGCCCATCCTGCTGCGGATAATGCATTGAATGCAATTAAATAGAATCGCACAACAAGAGAGGGTCCTGTAAACCATATCCACTAGGTTAATTTCCAAGTTTCAAGTTTATTGTCGCGTTACTTACCTCGTGAGCGGGTACTGGACATTTTATGGTCGTTACTTGGCACCTTGAATCCTGTCTGTTGCAATTGGCAGGCTCGCTGTAGAGACTTGATAAACAATACACCTACGGGACGAGCTGATAGGAATAACGGTTGTCCTCTAGATTTACAGTTGTTGGTATCGTTCGAAGAGTTGTTTTGCCCGACCCTGACCACGTGACCCTCGAGTGCCACGTTCATCGTACTTAGCTGATACTTTAGGTTTGCTTCGTGCACGCTCAGTGACCGAGTACTTGCTGTATTGTGGTCAACAACGTTGACAATAAATACAAGCGAATACAGAAGTGAAAGGGAATCAATAAACAAAGGTACATCACTCCTTAACTTTGTGCAAATTATCAGAGCCTCATGAGTCATCCAGAGGCTGGAATATTAGTGATTCCTTGTGGATGAGTTCAATTATGGCCTGGTGTTCAATGTAGGTACATCACGAATGGAATAAATAAAAACATGAAACAATTGCCAAGGAAAGCTCAGCTCAATGCAAGAAGCATTTTCCGAGGGTCCTCAATGTAGTCGCGGACCTTCACTGCAAACGACAACGCGTCAGATAACGGTCACGTGAGATATAATAACGGAGAGAGTACAAACCTAGGAACGTGACTGCCTCCCGACCATCGAGTAGTCTGTGGTCATAGGTGAGAGCAACGACCATGATGGGTCGGATGACGATCTGGCCGTTTACAACGACAGGTTTGTCCTTGATCGTGTGCATGCCGAGTACAGCAGATTGTGGCAAGTTGATGATGGGCGTTCCGTACAATGAGCCAAAGACACCACCATTGGAACTAAGCGTGCAAAATTAGTATTAGTTTGGATTGAGAATCAATGAAACTCACATGGTAAAAGTGCCTCCTGCCATATCCTCGAGAGTCAATTTACCATCCCTGGCCTGAAGACAATAGGTAAACTGCAGGAGAATACGATATATACAGTGCTTGCCTTGTTTCCGAGAGCAGCAATCTCCTTTTCGATTTCAACAAAGCCCATGCCCTCAGCATTCCTCACCACAGGGGTGACTAAGCCCTTGGGCGTCGCGACAGCAACACTCAGGTCAACAAAGTCATGGTAGACAATCTCGTCGCCCTCGATGGATGCATTTGCAGCAGGAATCTCTTTGAGCGCCAGAGCGCACGCACGAGCGAACGCGCTCATGAAGCCGAGCTTGACATCGTGTTGTTTGAGCACTTCGTCCTTGTACTTCTTCCGCATCTCCATGAGAGAGGACATGTCGATCTCATTGAAGGTCGTGAGTGAAGCGGCAGCGTTTTGCGATTCCTTCAAACGCTCGGCAATGCGCAGGCGCATACGGTTCATCTTAACCTAAGGGAGGAAGCACGTCAACATTACCAAAACAGGCATAGCAATGCTGCATACTCTTGTCTCACCCCGATTACCAGGGGCCTTTGGCGCAGGAGGAGGTGCTTTCGACTTGTCTTCCTTTGGTTTCGAATCCTGCTTCTTCACCTCCTTCTTGGACTCTTTGGGTCCTTCTGGAGAGATGCCGCCACTCTGCTTGTCAGCAGCTGATGGTGCACGCGGCTCTGGTATCGTCTTGTCCAGTTGCTGATCCTTAGGTTCTTCAGGATCTGTCTTCTGCTCCACAGGAGCAGCAGATGCTAGAGCCATGTGAAAATGTGATGAAGTAGCATGTCACGTAAGTTACACAGGGCTTACCACCGCCTTCGCCAGGTGCAATTATGAAGAGGTCCTGACCAACACTGACAGTGTCTTCCTCCTTTGCAAGCAACTCCACAATCTTCCCTGCTGTAGGCGCATTGACACTGACGTCAATCTGGTGAGGAATGATTAATGCTTTCAGAGGCGCCAATGAGCTGATACCCGCCTTATCCGTCTCAATGGTCGCAACCTCCTCGTCGACCTCGACGGTATCCCCAACCTGCTTTGACCATGATCGTAGTGTGCCCTCGGAAATAGACTCGGCCATCTGTGGGACCTTTACGGTCTTGGAATGCAACTGTGCGCGTCTGATATAGTTGGCGACTTTCCTATACATACAAGAAAATAGTCGTTCAAGTCAGCGATGTTAACAACAGAAAGAAAAACAGAGAACACGCGCCATCCTTGCGAGAATGATACAGCAGTGTATTGAGCACCTCTACTAGCGAAAAATGCACGACTGCGAGCAGCAGCGACAACTCGTTTCGATAGCATTTCTATAGTCAAGAGACGCTAGACAATACCTAGATGATAGAAACAGACAACACTTCTGCACTGTGCTGTGCTGGACGATGAGTACGGAACAAATTGGGTAGACACGGTTGGTGATGATAATAATAATACGTGACAGGTCGCTTACTATAAGTAGGTTGCCATGAACCTGGCAGACCAATGATAGTGGACACAACGTCACGGCCAGGTGAGTAACCGCACCAGCTATACTTAAGCGTCTAACCTTGACGCAAGTTTGGAAGTAGAAGAGTGGAAGTCACTAATAATTCTAGTAGATGCTCATCGTCCTCGAGGTTACTGACCCCGCCGTTGTGTCCGACCGACCCCTTCCGAAGCTTCCCGAGACTACAGCTGGTCACCGACAACCATAAATTAGTAGTATAGGTACGGCCGCCGTGGCACCGTGCTCAATTCAGTGACCAGTCTTACTAATGATATTTTACAGCTGGTCATTTTTCATTACAGCGCTCAAGCCCAGGAGTCGGCGACTCATGCTCCGAGGCCGCCTGAAACTCCACAGCTCTATCGTATACTCGTTGAATATTCTGTTGAACTGGTTCAACAAACTCCCTGACGAGCATGAGAATCAGAATCAACTTGAATGGTTCTCCTGCATACGTCGGTCCGTCCAACAGATAACACAGTTACGATCGATTTGGAACTTCATCCGGGAGACGGCGAGCACAAGCAAAAATTAATACCGCTCTAGGATATGCCAACTTTGGTTGTTGCCTTATGGCTTTGTACAGAGGGCGATCTCGGGATCTGGAGAATATATTTTATCCAACCACTCTATACCCGAACTTGTCTTCGACGACTTCGCCCTAATACGAAGGAACGCCTATCTTTATTCAATAGGTCTGACTAGGGGAGACTACACGATGACTCTCCGTCGATAAGTACGCGGACTTAGTAAGTAGCTGTTGCTGATGTCCGTTCCGGTCGCATTCTTCGGCAAAATTCATGAACATCGACCACACGGCCGCCTTCAGCACCACAGCTTTGATCGATTTGATCCCTCGAACTCGAACTTATCCGCGGTTCGTAAATAAAATGAATACACAGGTTAGCTGTGGGATCTGGTTGCATACAGAACAACGGAGTGCATGATAAATTATCCAAGGGTGTCCTGGCGGCGTCGTAACGAAGGCAGGGGCCTCGAACAAGAAGTCGACGAATCGATGCGGCGGTTAAATAAACTGTCCAAGACAATGCCGTTGTGCAAGGTGATCTGCCAGGAGGTCGTCAGAACCCAGCATTAAGGCCAGAGTACGTACAACGAAACAGAAGGACCGGCAGCCGGGGCGTCGTTGCGCTGGCAGATTTTCATAAATCGTCGGAAACTCCATTCTAGCAAGACGCCAAGCACCACAGCTGGCAAGATAATGAACTCAATACGGCAAGCAGTATCAGCTGAAAGAATATTGACTGGATCATGTATCTTACAGAACCAGAGTAAGTAGAAGGGCTAATATTCAATTGCGGAGCCAGAATCTATCAAGAAGTACATTGCGATATAGAAGAAGGGAGACGCAGCGTCATATGTGCTGCTCCGGACCACTCTCTGCACGAGATAAAGCTGATGAGTAGGGGGACTGCCATGTTTGCCACAGATAACTGTTGTGGTCGTGTTAAGCATGCGGCGAGAGCAATATGTTACATATCATGATATCTGGACGTGTATCGTGCTCCTCGTGGATACGCTGGAAGAATTGGAAGACAAATGAACGTGGGCCATAGATTGCACGGTAGAAAGTTTACCTTGTTGTCCTTGCATGTCGTTCGATCTGGACGGCTGCCTCCGCGTGCAGAGACGTGACGGGATAAAAGCCATATTACAACCAAGGTGCAAATGACATACCACGTTTGAAGGAAAACCTGGAAAGATCAAACAGTCCCCACCCACAAGCGCACGACTCCAGTCGGCCCTGAGTGGCGCAAGCTAGAAGGAAGAGATAGATTACTCTAGCCTTACGATGAGGCTCGCAGCGAGGTGTAAATTATTGACGTCACGGCTGGCCTTTACAAAGGTTTTACAAAATTATCCCATCTCGAGAAGATAGCCAGACAAGACGCAGAATGCACTCAAAACATATTGGCACCCGTATAGTGTAATTTACGGTTTCAGGGGATCACGTTCACTCGCGAACTTATGGATAACTTGCAGCCACATCCACATCACACTCCGAGAGGGAACATATACATCGTAAGCGCATATAATACCGAGGACTTTATGGACTTACTTATCCGGCTGCCAAAGTAGGTGGCGACACTAGTGTAGGGTTCAAACTTCAAAGGAGCCTTAATATTGCTAGCGATAGCGTAGCGAGGGATGTGATTTAGGAACCGTCAATCCAAACCTTCCAAACCACGGCATAGTCCACGAATACCCATTTTTATGTTGCCTTCTGTGGCAAACTCAATTTGTTATCAGCGGGTACCATTGAGTGACCGAAGCTTCGTATTTCGAGTTCCTTGATGGATATGACGAACTGTACGTGTGTTGTACTGGAGCATAGTATGTCACATCCATCGGGGGTTTTGTATAGCGTTGCCAAACCAGTGACCATAAAATGATAAATGCCCTGAATATTGAATGATGCGAGACAGAAAACACATAGAAGATGTCTTGGTAAATGGGGCAGAGTTGCAAGAATGCCTGAGAAAAAAAGCACAAAAATTGGTTGGAAGCACATCGTACTAGCACCGGTCGCAATTGAGTAGAAGTCATCGCATAGAAAGAAGAGGGGGATCACATTATTAACCAGCATTCATCGCGACCAAATATCCATCCCGCTCAGTCTTCTCGCCTCCTTTGGCTGTTGCGGCGTGTCACTCGCATTGAACGGGTTCCGTTGAGCTGCCTGCGGCGGAGCTTGTACGGCCGAAGCCACACTTGGCCCATAAAAGGATTGTGGACCCGGTTGTGACGTCTGAGTAGCTTGCCTTGAGGATGACATACTAGGTCCCTGAGCCGCACTACCTCCCCCATAGGACTGATATTGCTCAGGCTGCATCGGAACGTAAAGCGCCCCGATATCTGTCCGCTGAGTCAGCGGGTCGAAAGGTGGATTCGGCGCCTGCTGTTGTGAAGGGAATGCTGTGGGGTACCGCGCGCCGGTACCAGCAGGGTTCCCTGCATATGCCTGCGTCGGACTAGTCACCATAGCGTTGGGATTGTACCCGCTCGCAACCGTATCGCTGCGTGCAGCAGTCCGGACATTCGACATGACAGTCTCCCTTCGATCATCGTCCACTATAATTGTGGGTTGGTAGGAGTGCGATAACTTAGAAGGCGGCGGGGGGTAACGGGTGGATGCACCCCACCCAGACATGCCGTTTGCAGCAGCAAGCTCAGCCTGTTGTTGCAGATATTCGAGCTGAGGGTACGGCTGCGCTGCGCTCGGCTTGCCCGCCTGCCGCCTTTCCCATTCGCGCATGGCATCATCCCGGTTGAGCACAGGTGTCAGTGCGTTCCGTCCGGCTATCGCATCTTGGTTCATATGCTGCAGCCGCGCCAGCGCAGGAGGAATCATGTCGTTATGGTTGATAGTATTGGCCCGTGCGCGTGCATGGGGTGGGGGGTAGTGTGAGGTAGCGGGTGGGTTGGGGTTGAGCATCCCGGTTACGCTGATTCCTGTCCCTTGTGAGTAGCTAGCACCAGCAGGGTTGAGGGCACTGAGCTGTGCAGGCTGCGATGTCGAGAAGGTGTGTTGCTGCTGCGGCTGTTGAGCTGGAAATGACGACGGCGCAGATGCATCCTGTGGTGGCTGGTAGGACAATGGCGGAGGAGGTGGCTGCTGCTGAGGCTGCTGTGTCTGAGAAGCAGGTGGCTGCTGCTGCTGCGTTATGTACGGGTTACGGAATACATTGTTGGCCGCCTGAGATGCGGCTTGCGCCTGCGCAGTGTAAGCTTGATGTTGAGCAAGCTGCTGGTTGTATGACGCTGCATCCTGGAATGCTCTGGTGCCTTTGGGCTGCTGTGGAACAAGACCACCGTATGGCCGCTTCGGGTCTGCATTGCCTGACGTGGATGGCAACTGTGTAATCTGGGCAGCGGTGTGTCCATTAGGCTGTAATGATCTGTCAGTAAATTTTTTTGAGAAGATCGATGGATAAGATGACAAACTTGGAAAGGCTTAGTGAACTTTTCACCGGTGATAAAAGGGTGCATCCTAGCCTGCTGGGGTGACCATCGTTCTATAGGGTTGAGATTGAGTAGACCCTGGCAGAAGTCGATGAATGACGCTCGATTGTTTAATTCTGCAAGGCCACGTGAGAACAAGTCAGGCAAACGCCGAGAACACTTAATCTTACCTTTTTCCACTTCGTGCCCCTGCCGAGACGATGACTTGAACGTCGGCATCGGTGCAGTGTTGACAATTTCCGGAAGCGTATTCGCCTTGAAGTAATGCTTCCCTGGCTGTTCCTTGGTGTTGTGCTCACGGGAGTACTGCTCCAAGGTTTTGAGGCGGTACTTCTTCTGGCCATACACATCTACGTAGGAGTCGAAAAACTGCTTTGTCTGCTTTCCTATGTCCAGCATGTATGTTGGAGGCATCCTGTGATTACAGGATAATGCATCAATAAATGTTGATAACCCAGCCAGTGAAACGAAATACCCACCCAAGCATTTCGACGATCCGGGTTATCTGATTGTACTCGCTCGTTCCGGGGAAGAGCGGTAGCCCCAAGAAGAGCTCCACGGCAATGCAACCCAACGACCACATGTCAATCGAAGATGTGTAAGGAATTCCGAGGATGACTTCTGGCGACCGATAAAATCGCGACTGGATATACGTGTACACCGTCTGTCGTTCATGACACGCTGATCCAAAATCAATAACCTTGATTTGGGGCGATTGAAGCCTGGTAAAGGGATTGAGTACGGGAAATGTGAGGAAAATATATGAAAAAAATACGATTTGAGTAGGATATTTTCTGGTTTCAGATCGCAGTGAATCAAGCGTGCATCCTTGAGCACAGTCATAGCATCTAATAGCTGAGCAGTAAACACTTTCACGAGTTGCGTGCTCAATCCTTGGAATTGGTTTTGCTTGATCAGCTCATAGAGGTTAGATGAGAGCAGCTCAAATACAAGGCATAAATGATTTCGATGAATGAACGAGTCGCGAAGTCGCAATATATGATGCTCATCATGTGGATCACATGAATTGTTGAGCTACAGGCAGTAATGTGAACATCATTTCATCATCGTTCGTAAAGAAACGCACCAGTTCCAGTATTGTGACTTCCATCATACTTTGATTGAAGTACGCAGGCTTATTTTTTACCACTTTCACTGCCACGATCTCGTGGGTCTTCATGTTCTGACATTTCACCACCTGACCAAAGGTTCCTTGACCGAGAATATCCAGAATGAGATATCGACTGCGAACAGTTCAGTGTATCGCTGAGAGCATGTGACATCAACGTACTTGTGACTATCCTCGTTTCCCAGCCAATCATTGACGTAGAGAATATAATCATAATCCTCGTTGTCGTAACCTTCGTTGTGGGCGGGCTTACTCGGCTTGGTGAGCACCCTCCGCGGATTGTGCGCCGATTCGTATCTGAACTGCGGGTTACAGATGTGATACGTCTCGAGGATGTTGGTTGTCAATTGTCTCAGTGGCTATGTCACTGGGTGTCAGAGCTCGACCGCAGTCAAATTAAAACCACACGCACCGATAAAAATACCCCGTTGGCATCCATTCGCCTGCCCGAAGGCTGAGCATTTACGTAAGGTCTAAGATCGCGCGTATCACGGACTCTTCTGAAACCAGAAGCTCGGCGTCGATGCTGCGGCTGATCAACGACCATGGGCTGGTCTTGATAGTATTGGCCGGCCGGACTCTGGGGGTGAGCAAATGACAGAGGGGTATTTGGGGTGGAGATGGAACTTTTGATAGATGCTTGGCTTGATAGATGACTCTGATTTTGGTGTGGTGCGGGACTGGAGGAGTCCATCGCATACGCAGCATATGCAGCCTGCGCAGCACTCTGCGGAGTGTACGGGGATGATAATGGTGGCGTTGAGGGTTCAACCTTGGTTTGAGAGGTGCCGCGGGCATGGGAATGATAGGCAGATGAAGTGTTAGGCCTCTGAGCATCAGATGATGAGGCGTAGAGGTAAGGGGTGGTAGACGGGGAGTACTGGGCTTGTTGAGAGTATGGATCCAGGAGTGAGTTGCCCGTACGCATTGGTGAACGTCCAGAACGGGGGGTAGGATCATGCTGTGTAAGAGCTCGCTTTGGCAGGTTCCCACTGGAACCATTATAATACATTTCTGAATACGGTTCGCTGGATACAGCTGTGGGAGAAGCACTGTTGTTGGGGGGAGGGGGACCTGGTTGAGATTGGTGGAAGGCAACGCCGGATGGGTAGAGGGAGTTTGGTGTTGCAGCCATGTGTCTCGAACTAGGAACGGTTTGGGCGTCAAGGTTGAAAGCGCCCTCGAGATCTTCTGGTTGATGGTGACGACGAGCCCTGGAAGATCCGTTACCAGCTCCACTACCACCACCCAATGACGCACTCCTCGAAAGCTGGTTCAAACCGGTAGAAAGGAAAGATGAAGATGTGATGCCCGTTGGTTGATCGTGGTCAAGGATATGAGCCAGGCGAGGCTGCCTAGTAGATGAGCCAGGTGATTGATGCAGGGGCGGCAATCTCTGACCGACAGTTGTGAGAGACTGTGGTGGTGGAGGAGGCGGTGCACTGGGATAAAGATAGGATGCTCTGGCAGCGGACTGAGCAGCCTGGGCAGATGAAGACAATGGTTCCAGATGAGCGTGAGTTTGCCAGCGAGGGAGATCAAAGTCTTCGTTGGTGTTGGTCATGTAGGCAAGTTCGGGTTCCGACATGCTCTGTCTATGAGAAAACAGTTAGTACCGCTGCTCTCCCAGAAAATAATAGTAGGCCGTTTAGTTGTTTCGTGGTCGCCGTTGTCGTCAACGGCAAGGACAGGAAATAAATGGCAGTTAGTCCCAGGCCACAAATGAGTCTAATAGCGCCAAGTGCCACACGGTTCCACTACTATGTGAGGGGGTTAAGGGTCGGCTAATCGATCTTAGGCCTCAACAACGAATCCCCAATCAATTTTACTTTTCATTCATAAAAATTTACTACAGTGCCAACTTCGTGCCAACACGAGTTTTATCCAAGTGCCTCTAGACCCAGCTAGTACAACACGTGGCCAGGGTTACCTCCGTGGCGAGATCAGGACTTACCAACGACATTTGACAACATAATTTGTATTATATGGAATTCATGAAATCCGCCAACCAAATCATGACATGCCCCCTCGCACATGCTTTGCGCAGCAAATTGGTTGGGGACGCAGAGATGGAAACCGTGCTAGGGCAGAATTTAGGATACTTCTTGGCCGTGTTCATCTCCAAGGCTGCTGAGCGCAGCAACTATGCCTTTCTCTGCATCAAACAACAGATTAGACCCTCGTTGTGTTGATAGCAGGGTAGCAGGCACATCAACCGATAAGAATATCTGTCGATGAAACCTCCGCGCTGGAATCAGTGGATTAAAATCAGCAAAGGACACGGCGATCCGAACGGAACGAAAAACGGGTTCCACTTACCAAGACGCTGCGCCATCGAAAAAGATACATCAGAACTTGATGATCGGAACAAGGAAGTAGCAGGTCCAAACCCCTTCCAGAACTCGCTCAGGCCATTGTTGGTGTATGATTGGCTATTAACATCATTTACTTACTGCATGACCAGGTGGTGCGGGCATAGCACATGCCCAATCTTTACAAAGCATGCCAGTGATGGCTGCGTTCTGCACAGATTCTGGTGGTTGATTCGTAACACCAACCCAAATCATGTATGAGCCCACAAGGCTAGTTATTTGCAAGGCAAGGGCAGGCAAAGATGGGTCGGACGGTGCGACATATTTTGAGGTGACAGAGATCAAGGAAGAATTCCCTTTAGATGGGTCCGCCATGGTGGACGTTATCCGATATAGTGAACAAGCCCCGCAACGCGACAAGCACGAGTTGAGGAGAGTTACAGCCAAGCATTGGCCAAGCCCTTATCAAAATTCAAATGAGTCACCTGATATGTATTATTAATATCGCATAGGGGGTGTTCGAATTCAACTGGAACCATCATGTCCTTCAGCCAACAGCAATCGACGAGTCCTATGGATGCAAATGGTGTAGTACGTTGCCCACATGGCGAAACTGCAATAAGAAGGACTAGTCAAACATCTTCAAATCCCAATCGGTATGTTCAAAATGGTCTTCAAGTATCGGTGGTTGACATTTGCCGCTCAGTGAGTTCTACACTTGCTCGAGGTCAATCCAGAGCGAGAGGTGTAGATTCTTTTGTGAGGATCTCTCCTAGTGCACGTGGAAGTGACTCAAGCGAAATTGCTCAGATTGGGTAGATGACCCTATTTTTCCCCCACAACAGCATAGTTCGGTATCTCCCTCTGTACCTGCATCGTCGAGGCCCCCTCCTTCTCAGAGGCAGAGAGCCGAATCAGCTCGAACATTGAGCACACCCCAGAAAAGTCCTAGGAAGAGGATGGCAGATATAGCGGCCGCCTTAAATGAACCAGAACTTGAGGCCACTTCAACGCCACAATATGGTAGCCCCCAGCAAAATGCAACTGCCATGAATGACCGAACGCGCTCATTTCTTTTTGGCTCCCAATCCTCTCAGGCCTCGACGATCGGGGATTGGGAAGAGACATCGCCAGAAGATGACCTCGAACAAAACAGTCCGTCCAGGAGTGTGGACCAGAGTCTTAGAAACATAGATCAGAGGACACCAAAGAAACCCAGAGTTGCGTCCGTGGATCAGCGATCGGGTGTCCAAATCCCCTTTCCACTTACTCCACCTCAGACATCACGCCGCCGCATCGACAATTCGGACCAGAGCACATTCGAAACAGACTTTTTCCCGCAAACGCCGACCAGGAACAAAGGCAAGGAGCGGGAAAATAGCGGCGGGGAGCAAACGGTTGGTCTTGGACTCGGCTGTTACAGAGAGATTGATTGAAATCTTTGTAGACCTCAGGCACGAATGCTCGCATCCCCAGTGCCTTTGAGAGCGGAAGCAGTACTTTCAAACGTGACGTCCCCGCGCATACATCTAAACCCCTCGAACGCACCTCTTCCAACCCTTTTATTGTTGACCAAACTACTGGGGAAAGCATTGCTTCGTATCTAGAAGCACTGGACGCTTTAAAGTCACCGTCATATATTCGCAAAATGGAGAAAAAGCTCAGTGCGCTGGACCAAAGCAATAAATTCAAGGCGAAGTACCTCGAGGACCTAAAGGCTGCGAAGGCGGAAGTGGAGAGTGAAAATGCGCGTTTGATAGCGGAGAATGCGGGTCTTCAGAGTGAAAATGCGCGGTTGGCGCAAGCGAATGCGCATCTGCAGGAAAGGCTGCTACAGTAGGAATTATACCCATGACTGTCCATTTTCTGTCACGCTCAATGCCCTTCCAGGTCTGAGCACAGCAGCCGCGTCAAAGATATCGAAATTGCCGCTATCAAGTCCCGTCGTCCTCCAAATATGTGATTTTACTTTATTGGAATGGTCTCGCTTCTTGGTTATTCTGACGCGGCGTGGAGGGTAAGGGGTTCCTGCTGCTGGGCTACGTTCCCAACATCTTTGCATTTAGTGGAAGTTGAATGTTCAAGGGCGATTTCACATAGTGATCCAGACAATCTACGATGTGTACCGGACTCAATCAACCAGCTCCATAGTTATTCTTCCATATTTTTATCTAGGCACATTTTCGTTCACACCAAATCACTATCGGTTGGTTCATCTCAATCTCACGGGGGGAATCTATGGAGGCATTAATATCAGTGCCATGTGCAAACAGATCAATTTTTTGAGAGCAATTTTGGTCATTCATTTGAGGCTTCTGCAGGGCAGAGCTCAAACTCGCTTGCCGTAAATCCTTTGGAGGTCGACTGGAGAAACTCAGAACCACAGTCGGTCCTCGAAGCGAGTTAAATTATTCTTCCCCGCCGTTTAGCCCATATTCTAGAAGAAAGAAGCAGTAACCTTTTAGTGCAGTCTTCTTTCCTCACGCGCGATGTGGAGGATTTTCGTTACCGCTATCATAAGCCCCAATAAGTCGTAGACTCAGGGCCCTTTCATTATCGTAGCACGCGATGGGCTATAAACCTGCTCCGGGGGGGGCACATGGAGAGAAATGTTATCCGGGGACGCGAGAAAAAAATGAGGGCCCAAAACGACGAAAGCAGTATTTTTTGACATGTATTTCGAGAACTCGAGGTACACGATTATGAAGAAAGCACAAAGTAGTAGTCGATCGAGTAATCTGAGAAGAAAAGTTAGGCCGCCGTATGACCACGCTCCATTGGCATGTACGACACCGACTGTTGAGTTGGCGCCGAATTTTTATCAGGAGCGTCGCATGCCGCAAAGAAGCGGGGGAAAAGGATTTAGCCGACCAGCGATTTCATCGGTATGGAGCAACTAGACAGAAATAAGACGATCTGCCTGTAACGACGATGGCTACGCAACATGTTCTGGTTTAGTGCGACCCCGTTACCATCTCGTACATGTGCCGCAGCCAGGCGGGCTGCGGGCAGAGCCAGTGCGTTCGAGATGCACGGTTTGAATAAATAAAAATCGGAAACAAAAAGAGACACCCAGTAACATCCGAGATCAATCCGCAGCTGTATCCAAAGTCCTTGAGGGCCCTTTCAGGCATGGTCTAAAATGGTCTCCGTCTGCTGCTGAGCGAGTTGCGCTGCAAGATGAGGGCTAAGTTGACCGAAACGCTCTGGATCCAACGGAGAGAACCCATCAAAGAAAGGGGCTGATACAAGTGCCGTATAGATGGCACAGCTCCAACGAAGGAACAGAAGGAGTTCCGGTCAAAGGGCTCGCTCACTTGGGGAACTTTGCACCAACATGACAGTCCTTGCAGGCTTACCGAAAGCCACCGAGAAATGCCGTGCACAGGGAAATTTGTCTATCTTTGTGCAAATGACAGATCTCCAAGCGCGCCTAAGGGACATGGGAAACATTGTGGGTCCAGTAACTTCTAGTATGAGTTCACGTGGAAGACCCTTGACTATTGCCGCTGAACCAGAACTCTATTACTCACCTTTAAATACAAAGATAACTATCAGATCCACCAGAACACATATCGAGGCCGAAGTATTATTAAAAGTCTTTCATGTGAACAGAGATGAGAAGGCCTCGAACATCACGAAATGTTCATGACAAGCATCCTGGAAGATCACGTCAGGGTGCAAGAACCTTGTGGGGTTGTGTTCCAGTGCTTTGATAAGAGATATGTGGGTTGATATTCGGCCCCTTGACAAGGGTGTGTTGGCTAGGATCCGACTGAATTTCCTTCCGGACCTATTGTCTGATATTATCAGCTTAAATCACATGTATCGACTCGCCGAGTGACAGCCTGTCCTTCAAATGCACAAGCGAAGTCTATCCAAATTCTGGGGATCTAAGATGGAAAGCGCTTGGCGATGGCTACAGGGACGCTATCTTGAACATCGAACAGTGGGTGTCGATAGTCTCCCATGCTTTGACAGGTTGAAAAAGTTGCAGTTCTGGCCCGAGGGGCGCGCAAATCAGCGTCTGAGTAATTAATACTTATGTCAAAGAAAATTGCAAGAAGTGGCCTATCATGGTGACGCACCTTCGGTGTACTGTCTTTACGTTCATGCGTGAGGATTTTCATAGCACCTAAACGAGTACTCGAAGACTCAACTGTCACTGGAAACGGCATTGTTCCTGTGGGCCATTACTCGGAAACAGCGCTCAGTGGGCATGTTGACGAGATGGCCCAGGGTGCTCGGCGTTTACGTGCAGACATGATCCCATCACCCCGAAATTAATGAATCGACGGTCCCGGGAGACTTCATGTAATTGGTATCAAGTTGAACTACGTCAGTGGGAGGTCCAATATGCTATGATTGTACATTCGAAACATATGCATAGCAATTCACTGGATAATGATATACTTATCTGACAGTCTGCGTCCATTCGAAATAGCGTCTGTGAATGGTAAGTGTACGCTGGTATATGCAAAAATGATAAACAAGGAGTGTTACATATGTCCAATGTGTCATCGACGTAGAGCACAATATTTAGCAGAACAATCTTCGCCACCAAAGGACGAACCTTGTCCACCAGTCTCCACGCCACCCATCGCCGCGTGGCTTGGAACTAATCCACATCGATCCAGTGCCGAAGTGGATTTCTTTGCCTTCTGCTCTCTCCTCCTCGCCCTCCTCGATGTCGGCGGCACGAGCATTTAGAGGTGCGGTAAAACGCGGCAGAGAGCAACGGGTGATGAATGAAGGAAATACAGTTAGTAACGATAATAATTCGGGATTTGGAAGATCCGGAGACGTCCAGATGCGCAAGTAATCCTCTGGATCTTCTGCGACGAATTCTGATCGAAGCGGGGGTAATGATTCGTCTTCCCCAAGTTGATCGTGTGGGGTAATGGAACTTGGGCAATCTTCGGGAGTTTCAGAGGAAGGGATGGTAGCTCCGGAGGATTGAGAAGAAGCAGAAGGGACGGAGTGTGAGAGGGCGGGCATATCTAAAAATGGGTCGCTTGTAGCTCTCGCGCGCTTTACCTGGGTAGTCATGGCAATTGGTGAAGCATACGAACCAATCGTCTCGCGGTGAGCAGATAAAGGTTGTGAGCGGGAGCGCAAGTGCGCAGGCTGTGGCTGGTGAGACGCGCAATTGCTGTCGTGCTTCGAGGATGAAACTTCTTCGAAGGCCAACACCTGAAAGGCTGATTGAGTACATCGACAATGAACGATAACAACAACATACTCCTTTGAGGACATCGATAGCATCAAGCATGAAGTCTTTCCCACTATGCCGTGTGTAAAAAGTAAGTATGATAGATTTAGATGCCAATGAATGCTTAGTATGCTTACGCAGACTCTTTGAAAACGGCGTCATCAAATTCCCAGCGTATTCGGTTCGCCCCCGCACCGCCAAGGGGCTCTGGGACAACTTGAAGTCGCAAAATTGCCCACAATGCCTGAAAGAACGGCTTGGTTCCAGGCATGCCCATAGTGCACCAGGTCTTAACAAATTTATCTAATCGGTCAAAGCGTTCTTTCGCAGCCACTGGACCTCTAGGATTTGCTCTAGAATGTGGCATTAATGAACCACCAGGCTGAGTTGCGTTGATATGTGCCTGAAATTCCGCGTGTCGACGGGCATTGACGCTCGCATGGTAAGCAGAACGAATGGATGCCTGAAGGCGTGAAAATGGTGCTCGCTGAGCAGGAGGCAAATTTGCTAGTGTCTGAGTAACTAGTCGCCCAGACGCCTCATCTTGGTTGAAGTACCTGATGACATGAATTATGATTGACAGGACAATCGGTTGAGAACAAAGGCATACCATGCACGACAAAGCTCGGCAAATTTTTCGAGCTCGCTGCGAGAGACTCCAAGAGGGGTGATCGATCGATTTCGAGAAGTAGGAGGCGGCGTTGGGCCAGGGTGACCGTTTCTTCGGCCTCTGGGTCTGCCAGCAAATGAAGGAGAGGATGGCGGTAATACACCAGGTTTCGCAGCTGGACTTCCAGGAGGAGAAACAACAGAAGTTGAATGAGGAAGATCATAAAGGAGTGTTTGCGCGTTTGAGTGCGTATTCGTCAATGAAGAATTTTGAGATTTCTGAAAGCGCAGAGGAGGTGGAGGAGGACGCGGACGAGGCGTATTGAGTTGGTAAGAAGGAACTGACATGTTTGACGATACGAAACCAGCTCGATTCGTCAAATAATCCGCCGAAAGAGGTAGCTTGAATAGCCTCTTGAACTCTGACTGGAGCTTGGATAAACCACACGCTCGAGATTAAGACAAGAGAGTGAAAAAAAGAAATGTATCGCGATGCGACTAACTGATACAAGCTGGCAATGAAATTGCCCCACAAAGCGTTAGATTGTTAGACACAACCTACGTTGAACGGTGACAATGACGACGGCTGGACGATGGCCACGGCTGCGCTAACGACTGCCAGCAAGCAAGGCAACTAATTCCCAAATTTCGGTCACCGCCACAATACCCGAATGTAGTAATGGGTCCAAGTCCTGCTGGCAGAGGTCTGGCGAAACCATGTAAGTACCTTCTTCTGACTACATCCCATCTGCTGCCAATGGAAGCTAAAACCCTGAACGTTGGCCATCTTTTAGGCCGTGCGGTTTCCGCACCAAAATATCGATCAACGCCGAGCTCTTTGAGATCGACAAGTTGTGCATCTTAATGATCACTTTCGATGTGGGCCGTATTGCCCAGCCCTGTTACCTGACATTTGCTCAATCTTAGGAAGGTGTTTTCATCAACAAGGATGTATTTCCGTCCAATCGCATCTTTAAATCACCCTTTTGCGTTGCATCCTTCAAAAAGCGCTTTGTAATTTCACCGCCTTGCTCAACAGCACCTGATCCGTTAACTGCGGTTTGGGCGCCGTTTGCAGTGGGGCGTTGTCACATTGTCCGTCATGCGGTCCCGCGTAAGGCCAGCGTGGTATTTGGTATGTGCTTGCGTCCTTACATCTCGTCAATTATCCAGTGGTCCCACCTCAAAGATGAAGATGTAATTTACTCCGGTATTCACAATAGCATGTCAACTGCAAGGCGAACATGCGTTTGACACGGTGTTGATCAGTGCCTCTGATGCGACGCAGCCGATGTACAGCGCTCAGTTGAACTGCGACGCAAACGGGTGATTTGTTGTAAGCGATACGTCAAGAGGCCTGATTTTCCAGGCACCTGGGCGTCTTTCCGGATTGGACGGCTACCCGTGCCGTGTATGTTGGAGAAAACATGATTTTGAAAAAATGTTCACACTGGGTCCCATGAAGCTGTCAATCGTCATCCTGGGTCTTCGTTTGGGACAAGTGTACGCTAGGAGGTTGCTTCTGTAACAGCATGTCCGTTCGAATCTCGCCATTAGCCATTAATATTGACTTTGATAATTCTCAGCGCGGTGTCCGAGGGGACTTGCCAGTACCCAAAGGGAAGCTGTGCAGACTAGCCTCTTTGAAACGTCATGCTCGACACTAAATCGTTCTCGTAAACATGTCTAATGAAATCGATATTCTTCGAACTTGAGGTGTGTAACCGCCCATCTATGGTTGATCCCTGCGGCAATGTCTACCCTGAACAGATGTTCCAATGTAACAACTCCCGCGGGCCTCTTACTCACGTGCGGCGCCCCGTTTGATAGACTCGTTCATGTAAGGAAGGATGGTACGTATATTGCTTTGACTGTGCCTTTTGCCACTTTGGCATGTGCTAACCACCTACATCTTGGGATAAAGACATTACATACCTCACTCTCTTTTCGGCCGAGTACTCATGCCACACGGCCTAACAAGTCCCTACATGGCAAAAACATAGCGGACTTTAAAATAAAACGGAGTGTGAATTTATTCCTCCGCTAAGTTACTGTCGGGGCGGGGCGCGCCCAACGGTTAGGTCAGTGAATTTATTTAATTCCTAAAATTTCTCAGAGGGCTCCTGTAGCTCCTGTGCTGCTTGGTTAACCGGCCGTCGGATGCGATGCAAGCAAGGTACCTCCAAATTGAATGACCTGTTACCGGCCGCCTACAATGAGCTCGCAACAAATATAATAAAATATAATAATAAAAGTCCCCGGACAAACAACTCCTTTAGGTATTCTGGTCACGGTCGCGCTCCCGGGTCAAAGAAGCCAACGAGTTTTAGCAAGTGCCAGCCTATTATCTTTTCCCTACAAGTTGAACCAATTTAATGGTTCCGCTATCTTGTTCACACCCCATTCGGTGCAGAATCTTTTTACTTACTTTGACTATTGCGTCCGTAGGTATGCAGCGCGACTTTATTGATTCTTGCCGCTGCCTTATCTCAATCTCAGGAATGGTGGACACCATGGACGAGAACAGTTGATAATATAAATCCTGTTTGCGTAGAACTGGACAAGGCCAAAGTGACGGAATCAAAAAGATCGACTTGATTATTCTAAAATTTCCTTACACGTGGATTGACCATTTACAAAATGACCCAAAAATGACCCTTGTAACTTCTTTCTGCATACAAAACCTACCCCTGCCCACGTTTGCTTCGCGAGGGTCGTACGTACATGACCTCCGCAAAGGCGCTCCAATAGTCAAATTAGTAAGGGTTTGAGGAAAAGGTAAATAGCCGTGACCGTGGATCTTGGAGATGCGATCACACATTAATATTGACGGGGTGTCATGGCAAAAGGGCAGTATGACGAAGACTGGTAGTCTGGACGTTCAAGTATGTCAATTGTGCGCAATCAACTCTCTGTAGAATTGATGTTGAAGACGTGTGGGACGTACCTACGGCCCATCAAAGTCTACTAATGAGAACCCTAACCATGGCGGATTTCAAAAAATATGCCGCAATGTATGCTCGAATTGTTACGGTCTACACAATATCAGAATGCGTTAACCGACGTCAAGCTGTCGAACTTCTACAGACTTACTCTGTTCTGGAAAAACCTTGAGTGAGCCCCCCAGTAGGGACTGCGGTGTAATGACCTGACATCTATTTCGGGCCTGCAAAGTAGTTGATTGCTGTACAGCCGAAACTTACGTTGATCCTTGAAGCTTTCGTGAAGACGGAAGCAAGGACCCTGATTGGTGGAGAGGGGCCGATTGTCACATTGCAGGGACGGCAAGTCCCTCTGACTATCCCTAAATCGGGGGAAACACGGCACCACGTTCTGGGTCGACTGAGTGCAACAGTTGAGATAGAATGGGACGATGAACCATTCCTGCAACAAGCGTCTATCCTCGTCTATCACGGCAACCAAGAATGAGATTATTTTGATGGAACTGCCATACGTACCTCTTGACGGGTCTAACCGAGCGACTTTCAAAATAGGTGAGATCCCAAAACGAAGATTGGTTGAGTAAGATGGGTGCAGTATTTCCGCCGCGTGCGACAGTTGAAGAGTCAATGCCACAAGGTCGAGAGAGATCCAATCGGATGAAACAGATGAGATTTCGGAGCGGGTAGACTGCCAGATATATGCCAGCGCGCCGATAGGTCGAAGAAGATGGACTTGGGTAGGCACGAGAAGGCGACGATAGATCGAGATCATTCATTGTTTGGACAAGTCGAATCACTCAGAACGCAGTGATAGCAAAGAAACACGGAACCTTTTTTTCATGAATCAGGTCGGCCGCGGTGTTTCGCGAAATGTTGCCTTGCCGCAATTAGAGTTCTATGTCAGCCTAAGAGATCTATAAAAGCAACGGCACACCGTGCTGATATGATCCTTTTTGTTACACCTTCCAGTTTCGAGCTCATCTGTGCCGTTACTAGTAGACGTCACGGTATCCCCTAACGCTAGCGGGCCGTCGCCTACCTCACCGTTCCACCAATTTGCCGGCAACGGACAAAGCCTTAACAACGTTGCCTACCTCGCGCCTTCCTAACCTAACCTTGGTAGTCTGTTGTTTGTCAATATAAATTTGACATTCGTATCTTCACAACCAACCAAGCCGCAACCGCCGATTATAGAGTCACTGGGTCTAGAAAAGATAGAGATCAATAGAAGAACAGGTTAGTAGTGTTGCTTCACTACCAGAGTGATTTTTTGATATCTTTGTCAAGCACAGTCGACTCTTACAGCATCGCTGATAAGCTTGATAAAAAGTTTCTACCTGTACGGACCCGTTCATAAGCTCTCATATTTTATGGCTCAAAGCGCCACTTGGGTTTCCGTGATGACAGCGGCAATTCCCGACGACCGATCACAGCTTGTTCAGGCTTCCCTGTCTGACGAAACTTCATCATCAGCTGTCTTTCGTCTTCCTTCTATCCATCATTCTTTCAATAATCAAGGTCTTTTCGATACCACGACGATACCCCGTCCAGGAGCGATGGACTTTGCAACTGCTTCACATCAGCCAATGTACAACCAGGCTGACCTCGATCAAGCATTTAATTCATTGCAGACAGTAGACAACTCTTCTCCATCTCACCATTTGTCTCAAACAATTCCTCAACATAACTTTGATCATTCAGAATCTCGAGAGGTCTCAGATCATCCCTCCTATGATCTCTTTTCAAACAATAATAACAATTTTGCCTCTCAGCGGTACCGCGCCAATTCATCTTCCTCTTCGTCCCTGGGTCCTCCTTACGCCATGAGCCCAGACGGAGTATACTCGCATGCATCCTTTGGCGACTCTGTTCCATCATTTGGCTCCAGCAACACCTACGACATCATGAACAATGTTTCGTATTCCAGTGGGAAGGTCTCTCCATTGACACCCAATGACGCGATGACTGGCATCCAGCAATCTCCGGTCTTCCCCCACTCCTTGGGTATAAACGGACACCAGAAGGACTTTTCCAACGGCCACGCATACCCGGAACTCCTCAACGATCGCCGTGTTTCCGGTGTTAGCGGCGCTGGCTATCACAATGACTTCTCCGATGATTATGGCATGAACGGCGGTGCAGGCTATCCTCCATCGGCCCTTCAACCATTCCAAGATCGCATGCGCTTGCAACCTGACAGTCGCTTTCCCCATTCTGGCCTACCTCCTTCGGTCCCTTCGCATATGGGACACAGCCCTGATATGTTCCGTGGCGTTGCTCCGCAAGCAACGCACTCGTTCCGCCCTGACTCTGGCCTTCCTGGCTACGACGACGTGCAATATTTTGGAAACCCTCATGCTGATATGTCCCTCCGCATGTCCAACATTGGGGATGGTTTTCCTGGGATGAGAAACGGGCATCCTGGTATGGGCTCCTCCAATGACCTTCAGGCTTTCATTCGGTAAAGACTATTACGTTAAATTTACCTTCAGAATCTCATGCCTTTGCTATTCAGACCCTACCTCGATCAATACGTACGGACGCCAAACCGCCTCGCGTTTGGCGAACGCACTGTCATTGTCATGTCGAGCAGGGTGGCGCAAAAATCATACGGCACTGAGAAACGCTTCCTCTGCCCCCCTCCAACGGCAATCATGATTGGCAACTCTTGGTGGACTGACGTGATACGCCGCGGGGAAGAGCCAAAACTTTGCCCTCCTCGTGTGACCGTCTGCATATCGGGTGAACCTGTGCCTCAAGAGGGTTCCATCGAGTGGACGTCCGCCTCCGGCAAGATCTTTGATGTAAATGATGCCCCTACAGGCACAACATACATTGGTCGCTGCGTCGGAAAGCAGTTGTTCATCAGTGATGTTGACGAGAAGAAGAAAAAAGTCGAGGCGCTTGTAAAGATAACTGCTCCATCTTCTGACGATGAGCCTGAACGCGTTATCGGAACTTTCCCGAGCCGTCCTATCAAAGTGATCAGCAAGCCAAGTAAGAAGAGACAGAGTGCAAAGAATCTTGAGCGTGCGTAGATTCACTGTGGTTCATGATGGCTTTTGACCGTGATCCTCCAGTATGTATAAACCATGGTTCAACGATTTCACTCTTCCATCGTCTGCGTTCTCAGACCGTCTCGACGAAGTACCTCTGTGTCTCCGGTTCAGGTTCCTCTTTCAAGGGTTCTGACGGCGCCCCTTTAATGGGGATCGATACTCGTGCGCGATCTAGCACGCCATCATTCATTGCACGTACTGCTAGTTGGGGTCAGTTTTTCACTTATGCTTTTTTTGTCTTCGCTGACGTTTTCACATTAGATCCGTTTGTAATGTACATTGTCGATGTCAACAAACCGGCCGGCGGAATTGATACCCCTCCCCCACCACCTCCACAACCTGACTACCCTTCACCTCCACCAAATGCCATTCCTTTCACCAACAACGGCACCCAAATACCAATCTATTACAACCAGACAGTGGTGCTACAGTGTCTAGTCTCGGGCGTCGTATCCCCCGTCTTGATTATCCGGAAAGTTGATCATCAGACGACAGTAGTTGGAGGAGGTCTTCAAGAAGGCGCAAAGGGTGTTGCAGACCACTATTGCTCACCAGGCGAAGTGTGTGGTGACCCAGTCTCGCAGCTTCATAAGATCGCCTTCGAAGTCTACGACTCAACGAAGGGCATGCCTGAGCCTGGAACCCCCGGTACAACGGGCGCGTTCTTGTCGTGCATGGGTGAAAAGGTTAATACCTACCGTCCAATTGAGGGTCGGCTGTGGAACAACCCGCCGAATGCAGGGTCAACATCCCCTATCCTTCCTGGATCTCCCGTAGTTTCAACACCAGCGTCCATGTCGGGCGCCGATTATTTCGGGCAGGCTACTGCAAGCGAGCCAGCATCACCGTCTTCATCAAATGATTTTTCAAATGACGGCGGGCGGGTGAAGAAGGCGAAACGTTCAACATCAAGTGCCGGTGTTATCAAGAATCCAGGCCCGAAAGGGCGGCGGCGCCCGACCTCCGCCGGGTCTGCGTCTTCTGGACGTCGCGGATCTTCCACTGACGCCGGCGCATCATCGGGTGCACTTTGGCAAGTGGATATAGGCGAGACGAGCGTCTGGACTATTGTTGGCACAGGTACTACGTAATTTTCCATTCCCAAATGTGCAAAACTTAACTTTGAATTTGTCAGATCAAGTGCGATACAACTTCTATGTACCGCCCGTGTTGTTCGACAACCAGAATGCGCCTCAAACAGGATCATTCCCAATCCCGTCGAAGCCCGTCACTCCATTCCCGGCAGTGGTGAAATACCTTCCTCCTGACCGTGCTGCGGAGGCACCAAAGTCTAACTGCGCACAATCGCGTGGCGTCTTGTCGAAACCTAATCCTCACATATCAAAAATGTTGACTGTATACGGAGAAAACTTCAACAAAGCAGACCCAGTACACATCTTCTTCGGATCAGACCCTTCGCCATATGCCGAAGTGAGGTGCACCGAGGTGTTGGGCTGCCTACCTCCAGAAAACCAAGTTGCGAAACGCCGCCCGATTATCATGATACGACCTGATGGCGTTGTATTCCCGTCACCTGTTATGTTCCCTTGATTGTATTTATCGGTATATCCTCGGTGCTTGTTTGTGGAGGCCTGGTCTGCCTGCGTGGATATATCCCTATAATTTCGCGATTCCCAATGCTTTGAACATGTTAGGATCTGATAGTTGCTATCTGTACACCATGGACCCGACTAAGTCCCAGCGCAAGACAGTACTATGTAGCCCCCTTGTATCATATCTGTTAGAAGAATTTCGATTTGATGTTTCTATCTCCTGTTTGTCGCCTCTAGGCAGGATCTTCTACGGCAAAGACCGTGAAACTGCCTTGTAGCCTCTTTACAGTTGTCATCTTTATCAGATCTGTGCACTGAGTTGGACTCTTGTACGTTACTTTTCCATCATATCAACATATTTGACAGCGGTACGCCCACCTATCATCGCTCTACACGCAAACGCGTTCGTCGTATCGGGTGCAAAAACGCTATCTAGTAATCACGGCTGTTACAAAACCCAAGCGCAATCAGAAATCGTTCTGTCGGGTCCAAAGCACCATCTAAATCACGGGCGTAACTTGCAGCTTGCCAGCATTCTTTTTGCATATTCCTGCAAGCGACCTGTTCCAATTTGGCTCCAAATCCCTTCACCCTTCACTCCAGAATCATGGGTTCCCAATACAGTTTACACCTCTTGTTCTCTTCCGCACCTCGTCGCGTATGGCATGCATACATCGAATATCTATGGAACCCGCTTCCTGGCTCCTGGGTCACCCAGGTCGCATATTCATTCCGCATATTGGCGTTCCTGCTTATTCTCCCAGTCGTCGTTCTGACACTCCTGGTGCGTATCCAACCCTGCTAAATTTGTAGATCCTCGCTTCTTTCAATTATTGATATCTCGTTAGGATATTACCTCCTATGTAATCGCACGCACTCTCGGTATTGTTGACGACGTCAAAGCGTCCACAAGCGACCTGCCTGTTATGACTGCTGAGGGCACGCCCTCGGTCCTCGTTGAAGATACGTCATCTGAAGAATCGTTCCCCGCGGAGCAAGGCAGCTGCATATCTTCGGTTCATCGGCAACACAATACCGACATGAAGAGTACGGGAGTACAGGAAGAAATGAAGCTCCAGGCTTACTTCACGGGAGAGGAGGATCTACGCTTGTCGAGTGTTGGCGTTCTCTCGCCTTTCCCGTCTCAGCCACCGTCACCTGTTCTACCCCACGAGAACTTGTCTGGAGAAGATGGATCGATGAGAATGGAAGATCTACGTGATGCACAGGATGAGCCCATGATCCTGCGACGACGGGGCGCCCAAGCGAAAAGTGATGATTAAATCAGCCTTTTTGGAATCGCCGCTAGAACTACATATTTTTTGCACCGTGTACGATGACATGATACCGATCAACGTCCCTTTTTACTCTACAGCTACAGTGATATCGATCAAGAAAACCAACTCGCAAATAAAAAAAACTGGCCAAGACGTCAAGTGAGGCGATCAGTAAAACCGTAGCTGATCTCTGGTGAAGACAGGTGGCTTCCAGATCAAATTATCGGCATAAATCCGACGCCTGCGTTTGTTTCGCACTTTTTCATGTTTCTCCAAAACGGCTTCCGAGAGACAAATGATATGTTGTCCTTTGTAGTGTTTAAATAGCTGCAACGTTGTGCACCTGCAAGCAATTCATTTAGCGTTACATCCCAGAGAACAGGTTCTTTCACACACGTATTCATAATATCCGCATGGGTGATAGACGTCTTCTGCGCAATATCGTCAATGCTCAGCTCATCTGTCGTATTGATGAGCAATTCCACGATGACCTCCGCCCAATATGCACGGTAACCGAGTAGGCCCAGATCGCTCAGGGGCTTTTCAGGGCTGCCAAGTTTCCCCTCTTTCTTACTCAACTCGTAAGAAAATTCGATGAGCAGCTTGCCAAAGCCGTGGCGTTGATGCTGCGGTAGCGTCAAGATACATGCGACGTTGTAATTCTCCGCCGACTCTTTCTCTTTCGAGAAGTAACCGATAATATGGCACCCTGTAGAATCTCGTAGACACTGCGATGATAGTCGGTATAACATAAATACAGAATGGCATTGTACACACCATGACATAATACATGAACGGTGTCACGTCATAGTACAACGTCTTGCTATAAGGGCACAGTCAGATAATTGAGCTTCGTCGTTACCGAGAAGAACTTACTGATCTAGAAAACATTTGGACAATAAACTGAGGTTCCGACACCAGCTTAATTGCCGCTTCCCATCAAGTTCGAAGACCGAAATGTCTTGGTGGCGGTAGATCTCGTTGCCAGGTGGATGAAATAGCGTACAACGTTGTCGGTGGCGCGAGAGCATCATGGGCGACGGAAAATATGCGAGACAGAACTCGCAGATGTATAGCACGGGTAAATGCGCATATTCCTTTGGATATGGACTGAAGTACCACGCTTCGACCTCGTGTTTGCCAATCTGTAGACGGTTTAAATTCTTCACCCGCGCAATTTCTGATATTGACTGGGTCATCGAGCCGGATGTCCGCAGTTTCTCGATTTCTTGTTCTTTGCTGAATGAAGAAACGGGAGGGGGCGTCTCTACTTGTGCACCATTGACGTTAAGTTCGAAGGTATCCCCTTCGCCGTCGACATCCATCTCGCCTTCTGCGTCTACATCATCCCCTTCAATTTCTTCTTCCTCTTCTTCCTCTTCATCATCAGTTAACTTCCGCTTCAATGATGGGGCAGGTGATGGCGAGGGAAAAGCAGAGCGGCCAGGGGTTGAGGCAGATGTGGGCGAAGCAGCCGCAGCCGCATTTGATGTCGCTTTCTTCAATAATGACTGGGAGCGAGGCGCCTTCCCCGGTGCTTTCTGCAGTGAGCCAGGCCCAGCTTTCTTGCCCGGTAGCACCTTGGGACGGGGCCACTCGAGGTCCCTGCTCAAGATAAGCCGAGATCCCGTTACCCACTCATCCAAACGCTTGTTAAACTGATCCCAGTGGACAAAGTACTCCCATTTGTCTTCTGGTTTGTCGGGTGCATCTTCCTCTTCTTCTTTCACACCACCTCGGGCATTTGTGCGTTGTGCTGACGTATATGAGTTCACGGGTTTATCACGAATTGATAGTATTTCTGCAAGCCGCTCTTCCTCCCCGTCTGGGGTTGGACGGCGGATGTAGATTTTGCACCCAACAGAGACGGTCTGAGGAAAGAATTTGATGAGTCAGCACTATGGAGGCCTGTGTGAATTGAAACTGCGGAAATTTACTTGGATAGTGTACGTTCCTCCAGGTGTGATGGATGCGGACTCCTGCGAGCCTTCATTGTTAGCATGTGCAGAGACCATTCTCGAGCAAAACGGCGGCGAAAGCTGAGTGCTAAGGGAGAAGAGCAGATTTTGCGTCGTTTGTGTCGACTTACCGAGTCATGAGGGGAAAGTTGAATTTCGCTTACTCAGCCTACAGCAGTGCAGCACAGCAACCTTTGCTTCCTATTTCACCAACACAGGCCGAATGTCACGGTTTAATTGTGAACAAAGGCAACGCTAGACAACAGCGCTTAAGTCTATAGGCTACGGTTCCTATGGGCCAATCTGAGACTGCCTCCGGGTTGATACCATACTAGCAGGAGGCCTCATCATTTTTAGGAGCTGTAGTCTATAATTTGCAGTGTGTTTCAACTACTTCGCTTTTTAGACATCGACTGCCAGGGGGCACTCTCCAAGTTAGTTCCAAGCGTACAGATTGAGTTACACCTGTAGATTCGGATCATTAATGCTAAAAGCACAACAAAAGCCGTGCAACCGGCGCTGCACGATTCTTCGTCGAACGCATAATTCCGTCGAGTGCGCGCGGCGTCAGATGGTCTATTAAGATCTGATTCTCTGTGAGATCGCCGTCCCTACCTAGACCCGCCTGGTGATGATGAAGTTTGAGCTCATTTTCGGGAGTTCAAAAGGTGTGGTGGCCGCAACGATTCGGAAACTCGCATCTTCGGAAAGACATATAACCCATGGCCGCGGTGGAAAGTCTGAGTACTGTTTGTGATAATTAGCGGCAGGGTAAGCATTCTCCTCGCACCCGACGAATTCTGATGTGAATGACGATAATGGAGCTTACCAATTTCTATCGAGCAAATCTCGCAGAAGTCCCGGAAGTGAGCCGTATGAACTTACCACAAGCGATGCATCATCTTAACTGACGGCAGACCATGAGGGCATGGAGTAGAGAGAATTTCCGGGCCATCGCTCTTGCAATGTTCCAACTACCGATCAATGCGCAATGGCCAGGCTCTAATAGCGCCAGCCGGATGGACCTAGCGACTGAAACGGTTGAAGTGGGGTTACATACCTCGTGATGGGACAGCATTGGCCTTTGTTACGTCTGTGGACATAAGGCTACCGCAGGCAATCGAATAGCCCCACTCGAACCAATTTAATTCTGTCATTCTATGTTATTGCTCATGAGCTGCAAGAACAAGCAGAAGGGCCTGACCAGAAATACATGATATGCAGGTTACACCCGAGTTATACCCCTTGGATGTCGGCCTCACTTTTCTTCGCGGAGTTTTGAAAATGGCAGTGCATAACAGAGTGTATTCGCAACCGCAATTATGATATCGATGTGTTTTTTTTGCAGAAGATTGGACAAGATAGAATGGGGTTGGGAGGGTACAAGTCTTCGATACGATGACGACAAAGGGGAGCACTTATGAGTCACAATGAAGGGTCATGGAGGGATCATAGTAGTAGACGCCACGATGCTAACGCCACCAACGTGGCGAGGGGTGCGAAGGAGTGTGGCCCTGACGCCTCTAGCTCGGAAACCTGACTCGGAGGACAGGGTCGGAGGCATCCCCGCTTGGCCAGTACCAGTTGGTGTAACCTTAAACATGGTGGCTTGACTCGTTTTGCCCTGGGAACATAGTGCGCTGTCAATCGCATTCAATTACCTGTGATTAAACTGCCAAGAAATCTTTAGATCTGGATTCTGCAAAATAGAAAATTTCAAATACAGGCCTTTGTGCTATCAGTATATGATCCCGCATATCTAGATATTGCCCTGCTAGCAAGAACAAGGAAATTTGTGCGCCGTTAGAGGTAAATAATGTCACTCAGATTGTTACTAGGGCCTGCGGCTTGTCTGCCCCGATGGATCAGGGTCAAAGATTTTTTTTCCTCCCTTTATGTCCCGTCTAAGCAAGTCCAAACGGTGATGTAAGAACAATGATATTCCATTGGCAGGAGAAAAGCCCGACAGAACGATGGACTTTGTGGGGAATGAGAAAGCGAAGTATGGCGGTACATGATGTACATCTTAAGCTTCATGCCGTATGTACGCTTCCTGAAGTATACCTGGTTCAGCCTCTTAGTTGATCACATACACGAGTGGTGACATTTTTTAAAGGACGTACGGAGTATCAGGTGTTCAGACAGAAACCACGTGACAACCTACTAAAGTTTTGGACTGGGTTCGTGCCATCACAACGAGGTGGCATATTACCTGCATTGCGAAGACACTGGCTAGAGCCGTCGGACCAGGGAAAAAGAAACACAAAACTGGCTTCTTATATCGTGTGCTTTGTGAGATCCCTTTCTTCTACATTAACGGAGTGAAGACGGCGTGTATGATAAAACAAATACAGCTTACCCTATATGTAAAGTTAGAAACTGTGTTGTACACCGCCTACAGGGCTTGCAGCGCCATGTCCCCGAAGAGAATGAAACAAAGTATTTGGGTGGCGATGGAGATGAAGAAAAATGTTCCAAAGTCTTACGGCGAGACCGGATGTCCGAAGGAGCCAGAAAGTGGTTGGAGAATAAAGAGAGGGTGAAGTTGATCGCTGTAAGCTTGTTGGACTCGGAGAGAGCTGGGCTGGATGTGTGTGTACGCACGTGATCTCCGTACTATCCGGCCCCTCCCGGAAATGAATCATTCCCAAGTGGGCCCTCCGATGATATTTGTGTGCCATTGCCTTGATGAGGCTCGTGTATCTTGACCTTGAGTCTTGACGCAATTCAAGATGATTTGACAGTAATCGTCAACAATGACCGTAAATTTAACTGCGACTGGGGGTTAGGAAAACTACTCACGCATAATTTCACTGAAATTACGAGCAATTGTCAAAGATTATCTTCATTTTAGGAAGGAGGCTTTCCCTGAATCCTGATGCAGAGATCTAGCCGACAAAAGCAAACACACAACGCGAGCCTGACTCCTGCTGGACAATGTGGTTGAGTCAACAAGCAAGACCCGTCATGGCAGTCACTACTACTAGTACTCACCAGTGAAGTTCATTGAAGCTCCGCGCATACTCGGAGCCGTAAATGCATTCCGATACCTGAATCGATTTGCAGCTCAATGGGGGCCTGTAACATGGTCAGATCGATTAGTATCGAGCGGGTAAAATGCCTTCGGCAATCAAGAACGTTCGGAATTGATATCAGGTCGAGAAATAGAATAGCAGGGATATGATGAACTTGAAATAGCACTACTTGGACCTCCGACTGCAATCAACAGGAACAGAGCGGAATGTCTTCATACAAGGCTGTCTAAGGTTGGCATAAGGCTCATAGATGTGGCAACTTGAAGGTGAGCAGTAGATGACAAAGCCCCGGGTTACATAAAAAGTTCCTATCACAATGTACTTGTCAGCAATTCCAGCGACGTTTTCATCCCACCCACCATCTCCTCTCAACGACGTCGACAATGGAGCCAGAGTGCGACGAGCTAAAACAAACCCCAGTGGTATCAAGGAACACAAATTCGATTTCGGAGACAGTCATAAACGGCACAGGCGCGGGTACGTACAAACTAGGTGGAATAAACTACTGCCCACCGCAAGCACACGTGTAGAAGGAAGATTGGTGAAGCAAAGTAAAAATTGGACGTCTACGGTACACTGCGCCTCCGCAACCTATTGCTGTCTTATCATTGAAGTCATTTTACAGAACAAAACAAGTCGAACAGTTCGGCTGCCTCACTCTTTGGAGGCAGTGTCATCCTTCTTCTCTGCCTCAGTTGTTGCTGGCTGAGGCTGTGCTTGCGTTGCTGGCTGCTGCTGCTGGGACTGGGAGGGCATGAGATGTGAGAGTAAACCCTGTGGAATCTGGGAGTACACCTCGTCGAGCTGTTGACGGAGGTGCGTGTTTTCCTCGCGGAGATGTGTGATGTCGTCACGGAGCCTGTCATTAAGCGCTCGACACTCTTCCCACCGACGATTCGCCTCATCTGCGGACGCAAGTGCTGCATCCAATAGTTGAGAGCGCGACTCGAGGGCTTTGACGTGCCTATGATGAAGGTGAGTCAGATCTGCACAATGCGTTTAAGAGATGAAAGCAAGAAAGAAGTGAACCCGTGCCCTTTCTGAGTGCAGAACGGAACAAAGGCAATAATGAGAAACATGCACTTACTGATCTCTACGTTCCCTGAACGCTCTCTGCGCCTTTCTATTTTGCTCGGCCCTCTTGGTCTGGCTCAATGGACGACCATTTGCCTTTGAGTCATCAGGACCACCAGGCTGACCCTCAATCTGCGGGGAAGGTTGGTCACCCGGAGGCGGGTGGGGTGGAGGCCCACCGAACTCAGGCCCCGGAGGGCCAGAGAAATAAATGGGCATGGATGATGGGTGATGTCCATGTGGGGGTGGCAACATTGGAGGGAGGAATATGCCAGGCGGAGGCTGCTGGAGCTGCTGTGGTGGTGGTGGTGGTGCTGGCGGCTGGGCTGTTGTTGTTGGGGGAGATTTACGTTTGCGAGAACGGGTTGCTGGAGCTGGGGCGGCTGGCTGTGCAGGTGCTTGAGATGTGGAAGGTTGAGGCGGCAGTGGGTCGTCGCGGAGACGCATTGCAGGAATAGTCTGTGGGGTTTGTTGCTGTTGTTGAGGTTGAGGTTGTTGCTGCTGCTGCTGCTGCAGAGCCTCAGACTGCTGACCTTGCTGCTGGCCCGAAGGAGGGTAACCGTGTAGCATTAGCAATGATCGCTAGTTTATTATATCTGTCTTGATAAAGGGCGCGGTGACTTGATATGTTTTTTAGATGCTAGGGGGATGTTTTCGCTGATCGAGTTTCAACGACGGTCGCGTTGAGGAGGCGCGAGTATTAGTAAGAAAATCAGGTCGATGGTGAGAGTTTGCTTTTGTTTGGGTGGTTTCCCACCTATAACGTCTCGATTAGGAAATTATATGTTCGCCCTAGTTTTTTTGACCATCGCCTGCGGCAGTATTACGTGCGCTCGCATTCCGCGTGTATGAGCTCGACGTCGCAACCATCCATATTTGATAGTTCGAGGTGTACTCGTCGATCATAGAGAAGTTTGGCAACGAAGATCCCTAGATTTAACGAAAAATGTCGAAGCAATGATAATCAGTTTATCGTGACAGGTCACGGAAGAGGCCGATTCCATGGAGAGTCGAAGGCAATGCAGTCCTTCTGTTCTAGTTCTAGCGCTCCGATCGCCGAGCATGCGCAATCTGTCGGCAGGATGTGTGTTCTCATGACAGTGAGATGAGGGGTTGGGTGAGATGGTTAGTCAAGTTCGACGCAGCTTTCAATTTTATGTAAGGTGTCTTTGTCATGTGCTGACCATTATCCTTGGATAAGCAGGTCAAACCTGGTCAAACCATGTTCAACTATGTAGCCGCGCTGCGAGCACACCCTCTTTGTGTAATGTTTTGCCTGTTTTCTGTGTCTGATGAAATTTTTACCAGGTTGGATGGCGGACAGTGAAGGCAGGCCCCTCGGCGACTGGTGCCTCGTGAGGTCTTGGATCTCAACGCTGAGCCAGCCTGTTCATCATGATAGACGGGCTGGTCGTCAGTCTGCAGAACAGTGCTTCTGTGCTTGTAAAGGGCCAGGTGTGCAGCTGCGCAGATCACTTAATTTCAATTAACGCAGGGCGGCATCGACCGGGGCATATTCTCAGTATGACTGTTCTTGATAGAGCAACTTCTTTCACTGAGTTGTATTTCCAGATCCGCGAATAGTACAGGCATATTCTAGGCATGTTTTACCAACGTGGAAGCCTACTCCCGGAAATGCGTCATTAAATCGTGTCTTCACGAGAAAGATGTTGTTCACCTTCTTCGACGCGATGATTCTCAAGGAGCCCAATCTGTCAAGAGGCACTGTGAAAATGGAACCCGCGATTTGATCATGACACACTCATCATGCATGTGCATCATGTACTGTTTCATCTGCAATGAAACTGTCGACTCGTATATCTTTCACTTTCGTCGCGATTCGTCCTATGCAATATTAGTCCAAGATTGCATCCACCATGGCGGTCGTTGTATGACGAGCAGCACATTGGTATTCAGAGGAATCCATGTGGCACGATTTTCAGACCAGCAGGGCCAGCTCTTTCTGGGACTCCCCATTTCTTATTCTCCCTGCAGAGGTGTTGGTACATATTTTCACATTCATCGACGCCTCTGAACTCACTCATAGCCAAAACTTTCAGTGCCGGACGCCACGCAAGATCTATCGTCCTCGCTAATCATCATGTCACCCGAACCTTCAGTTGCAACGCATTGCAAGCCCGCGGAACTACTTAGCAACCTAAACAAAATCGCTCTGCACGGATTAGTATCGGACTGGTCGACTAAACCACTCGATCGACGATGGCTTATGGCATCATCTAGAGTCATACGATCGAATGCACAAAAGATCCCAATTTTCATTCTTCACCTCGTCACGTCCTCAATCAATCGTGAGTTTGCGTTTGCCTGACAGTAATCTATCATTGTTGACCTTACTCCTATGTCACGTTACCCTGAATTACGTGTATAAAATCACCTTCAGGTTTCTGTCCAGCAGCTGTTTCTGGGATGTACGACAGGCAATTTATGATCGCGCCACGCAGCTATTGAAGACTCAGGCATCGTTTGGAAATTACGTCTCGTCCCTACCAAGATTCTTGTCTGGGACAGGCATGTTGAAATATTTTTTCAAGCAACCTGAATACTTCACTTGTCCGCATGTCTGATCAGTTGCGATCATACCTAGAGTTTTGCCGCTGTTTTGGTCATGGACAGCAAGGGTTCTGATCATTAGTATCCACAGGGACCTCTTCTATTGCCGTACGCTGACCCGTTTGTGCTGTCCAGTTCATCCATCACAAACCCTCTCAGCACATGTCCCTACTACCTATCGCGGAGATCCCAAGCAGGTCAATCGAAATTTGCCCCGTCCCGGAATGTAACTTCATGACTCTGATCAGCATAATCCAGTCGAGACTAGGTGTTCCGTGTGCACGACATCAAGCTGTTGCAGAGCTTCAGGATCACTTACGTTGCTCTGGTCTAACATAGTTACTCAAAAGACGAGTGTTCCTTGGATACGCCCAGCCTTTGATGCTTGGCTGTACCTGCCCCACGCACGTCTTGTTAGGCACAAATGGGACGTCTGGGGGCTCTGTGCTGCGCAATTACTCGTCAAACCACTGGTACACCAATGGGGTAAAGCGGCGGCGGCACTTGCGCATTAGGACCTAGAGGCTTCGACCCACCCTTACGCCGCCCTATCTTCAGCACTACAGCCCCCTGATTTCGGACTAGGTGAATGATACCCGCCGGAGAGCTGTTCTTTGCACCCCTGTCTTATCTTTCATGGATCGGACATGCGGGCGCATTTTGTACGAACAATGTCTCACAAGTCCCTGCGTTTGTCCTGATGGTTCGTTGATGGCGTTTGGAAGGCTTAATGCGCGATAGGACTCAAGTAGAGCCCCGCGCGATCCACGTCGAGGATCATATGCTAGAAGAGAATTGATCCAGTGTTGTCCCGTCATTGACGAATCTCTCGCTCTCCATCATGGCTGTATCTACATTGGACCTTGGACGGGCTCAGACACCGGGGTCCCTGACAGAAGCTAACCTCAAGCGGGGTCTGCCAAGGCACCAGCCTGAGGACCTCCGGCAGTGTTATGCATTTTACCTTTTCCCGCACGCCATCTTGCAGGGTGACCTATCCACTTGCTATTAGTGGTGACATTTCCATGATTTTGCGGTTGCTAACTAACCCCAGCGCATTTCTATTTGCTTGTTTCCACGAGTTCCATTTAATCGATGTTAAACTGCATGCGGTGGACTTACGAATTGGTTATACGGGTGATGTTGCACTTATTACAATCCACTTCGAGTATCCCACTACGGACTTGGCTGCCGATAGTTGGGTTGAGTTCGCCTGCTCTACGTAGGTGGCGCTTCCCCTAATTACCATTACCATCCAATTAGCTCCCGCCAATTTGCATAACACTTTCAGTCCTGTTGTAGTAGCTTTCGTATTTGGGAATCCCAGTGGCAATTTAGAACTCTAGCACCCCTACTGGTTAGTCAGTTGAAGTCATAGACCTTGTCATTCAGTACTTCAAGCTTCAGTCCCTGATCTCGATCCCTTGAGATGGTCAAGTACTATCCCTATATTGATCAGTCGATGTAGGAAAGAGGGGCAAAGGACCCAACGCCACCATGTACGAAATCAGCGTCGGCATTCGCCCGACAACGGAGTACGTGTTCATCTACTCAAACACATTAGACCACATGATAGAGTAAGCCCCTCGCGAAAATCCGACATAGGGTCTACGACCCCAAAAGACAATGAAATTGATTTTTTTTTAAAACTCCATATTCAATCCAGTGGCGCTTTTATGCCTGGCTTCCAAACTTGGTACCCGTAGTCCGTTCTTGAGCGCTCACTCAAACCCTACAGAGCCCTAGACATATACCTTGGTTTGCTAACATCAACTTCCCATGCTTATGATGGTGTACTTTACTCAGATTACATTGTGCTTGAGCTCGATAAAAGATCCCGCATCTGAAATGGCTCCACTTCTGTAGCCATAGACATTATCTTTGCAAAGGATTCTGGTCGCGGTGAAGGACATGCCTCATTCCTTGTATAACACCTAGTACCAGTCATTGATAACCGCAGTATCATTAACCTTTAAGAATCCTTCGAGTTGGGGTGCATACAACTTTGATTTCTTGAATTATCTTAGTTACAAGACGAGGGGCCGTTGCACCCTCTTATGTATTTACCAGTTCTTCAGCAACACGAACAAAAATTCAGCTGCTCGAGGAAAGAGACAGGAGTAGAAACCAGGATTATCATCTGCAATGTGCTTCGGCCCAACCCAACTCGATAGAGAATGCTTCTTGTCAAGGACATGGATGAGTGCGTTCAGTTTCATTTGCTCTCGAGTGCTAATGGAATGGTCGCCTTCTGCATAACCCGCAGCATCCAAAACAATATCTTCGAGAGCACTGGAACCTCCGAGCCCATCTGACTGGCCTGCATGAGAACGGGAGAATTCAGGATCTCCTGAGTCTGTCAAGCCTAGCAGCTTATGGTATCGCTCTCCTTGAGGCATGATGTCGAGCTGTATGTGATGCGCGAGATAAGGGGCTTATATTATCCCATTCCTGCTGCTAGCTGAGTGATTTACGTCAAAGATATGATCACAGCAAAGTGATGTACGCAAGTACAAGAGCTGAGAGTCGCACCCCAAAGAAAATGGATTGATGGGGAAATCGCTCGCCAGCGAGTGCTTTTTACCTGATATTCATCAGGACTCATCCCACTGACAGATTCTGGGAGCGCACCATACGTGACGCTAGTGCGCAGAAGCAAGACATTGCGGTCATGCAGAGGTTTCTAGGGGGTGTGATGCAGCAGGCCATTGACCGAAGGGAGAATTGTATCTGTGATAATCGACGTTTGGAGCTGCGCTTGGATATTCTAGATGCGACAAAACGACGACGCGCACCGGAACATATATCACTAGGCCCGAATTTCGGTTGTATTGAACAGATGCTATCTGCTGTGAGGTCCAGTCGATGCAGCAGCACGCCGGTACTAGTCGGGTGTCTACTAGCTCTGGCTCCCAAACGCGTGAACTGCGACAGCAAAGTCCCTGTCCGGTGACCCAGAACTTACATAGGAAGCAATCATCATCAGAAGTTGTTGCTGCTTACACACGGGAATCGTACAGACCTTGACAATTTCCGCCCTTTGGATACAACAAGGTAAAACCACATGCTGTTCAGACACCATTGCATTGGCCGAGTGCACTTAGGTGATGATACTTCCTGTCTCGACACCTCACCCCCTCTGCCCCATCATGGTTTCTGTTTGCAACAGTAATGCCGTTTGGGGACATTGTCGTGGTGTTCATTCTTGTCTCATCCTCTTCATCTCGCCTGATCTGCATGCCGCTTTATAGGTCCTAGCAAGTGCGCAACACCTCGTATCCAATGTGTATGGCCTCGCATCATCTGGTGGGCTTCTATTCCCTGGTCAGGGTCTCAGGTCAGAAATATCATGGGCCAGACACATTGACTGACGAAATCACTGCCAGTGGTGAGTCCACAGGCTGATCTTGACAAGCTCAAGAAATTCTAACTCACGGGATGGCTTCACCACTTTGTATGCAAGGATAGATTCGAGAGAAGCATATTTCAGGTGCCACGCAGCTTTCCAATAACCAATGAGAGATACCGACTGTGAGTGGAGCCAGTCGATGTTAATTTTAGCACATAACAATCAGTCCTATAGCTATGGTACGCACTTGGTCGCATAAGTAAGGTACGTGTTCGTTTCACAGCCTAAGCCTAAGCGCCGTGTAGCTAGTGCCAGCCTAAGTGCGCCCTAAGTTTACTATTCTTTGCATCGATGTCTTCAATGGTCATCAACTTGCTTATTTTACAAGGGAACTCACTCTATGTTTGGAATTCACTACCCTTTTGGCAACGCAAACCAACTTAGTACCAAGATGCCTCTAGAGGCCTCGCTCAGTGACTGGTCGAGCTAGACCTATGGGAGCAGAAGCGAGCATCTCACTCGGACAATGCTGCTATGGCCTGAGTGCACGTTTGATACACGCGTTGCTCTTCGACATCGGTCGGGTTGGGCGCTGTCGTCATTTTGGGGTAGAATCATTGAAGGACCGTAAAGCGACCGTGAAGTAGTGAACTGCGTGCTTTTCCGCCAATTACGGCCAACTCCAAGCGGCACTTTAAAACGTTGTTGATGCTTCAATCAAGAATCTTATCAATAACTCATCAAACCACTTCCTACCAACCAAATGGCATCATTTTTAACGCCATTACCACCCAGTAACATCGAGGCCAGCAGCCCAAACAATGTGCCTGAAGTGCCTCGTGAGTTTTCAAAGGTAGAAGGTTCTGGGCGTCAGCGAGAGAGGCAGTCGCGTGTGGTACGATGATCTCCTTGTTCTACTTGGCGAGCACTAAGCCTGCGTAAGTTGGAGCTCGGTGGAATCAAATTGGAATACGATGAGGGGGATCCACAGTCCATCAAGCAACTCATCGACGCCGTGTATTCAAAATATCTTGTATCGCGGAATCGAGTCCACCAGTACACAAACTTCTTGACGATGCTGAAACGCGAGGAGGATACATGGGCAGAGAGATTTAAGCGTGCAAGCAATCTAATGCCTGATTACAAACCACCCATGGAGTGGATAGCCTAACAACTTGGAAGACCGTATACTTCCTCGACCTTTTATTTTAGCATCACTGATCCTTTGTATTCAACGTTTGTAAACCACCATTCGCACTCATCGATATCAGCTACGTACTGGATTTCAAAATTGTATTCTTTACTCGTTACATTTCCCCTAAGTAGGCTACCCAGCCGAGCTTTCATTCCTAACAAAGACAAATATACTCTTATTCAAAACTCACATGGTGACATGGTGAAATATTTTCCAAACCAGACTGTGTATTGCGAATACCATTCGATTATCCACCGTCGGGTCACTTCGCGCTGTGTTGCAGTTCAGTGCGTTGCTACGGGCAGACTCCTTGTAGGGTTTATGATTGCATTCCAAAGTGAAACCATCATCATGCTCATTATGATCATGTCCTTCTGCAGCTCTGGACTGCGACAGTAGCTCCTGCTAGGGCTATTAGCGCATGATTCTGTAAAGGCATACGGGCTCTATGCGAATTGCACAGTTAATTTGAGTCGCAGTGTCGACCATGAAACAGGAAACAGTACTATTTTGGAGCAGACGATCCACTCATCCTGATGCGAGCTAGAGAATCTCGACGTTTCTAGAGATCAATAGTGCAAGCATCATTCCGGGCTATGATCGGTTTCAAGTCTACTTATCCTCCAGGTATACTGGAGGCTATAGTGATCGTGTGCGTAATTCCGTTGGAATTGATATCAACTTGTTTGTTACATCACCTTCAGATTGTTTGAGACGCCAGCCTGAACGCACGATAGGAAAGGAAGATAATAGCTGTTCTGATCAGCGGTTTTGTATACATTGTGCCATATCCTCGTGTCCCGTGCATCCGGGTCAGCGTGCTGATGGTCATTGCAGGTAATCTCCATCGCGTGTTCAAGCTATAAGCTCGAAAAGTCAACGAGCAAGGATGCATTCATTGGGCCGGCCTGTGGCAACTTTACTTTGTAATTGCTTGGTTGTCGCATTGTCTACCTTTGTGGTGCAAATGGGGCGACATCAATGGCATTGCTTTGATTCTAGGTGAGCAATCGGAGCATTAGAAAGAGCATCCACAATGTATCATCCTCGGATATTGAGAAATTGCTTTGTGGTTGTGGTTGTGGATACCATGGTGCGTCCACAGCAGCCCGACCTTTATATACTGACATGCAGGTACCCTACACCACTGCACACACTACCACCTCATATTATTTGCAACTTTACATCTCCTTGTTTCTATATATCAATTATGAATTCGTTCAAGAAGATGTTCCAAAAGTGAGCCTACCGCTTTCATGTTCTACTCATTGTAATCATACTAATCAATACTCCTCAGGTCCAACGACGACCAGACGGCGCCGCTTAAGCACTCCAAGTCGATGCCATACGGATTCTCTTCACAAGGGAGGATGCGCGAGCCTCGTGCCGATCCTTCCAAACCCGCGTACCGTGGTAAGAACCCCCTTAAAAAGTCCGACATCGTCTACGTCGAGCAAGCTCCGGGGATGCTCGAGATTCACCACGGCCAAGTGTCGCAACACACCTACTACCACGGTCCGACTCACGCGAACTCTGACGCACGCGAGGATTTGCTGGCCAAGTTTCCCCATTCCCCTGAACCAACCCAGGGCCTGCCTCGCAGCGGTTTCAGAGCGATTTCTTTAAACTCACAAAGCACCAGGTCCCAATTGTCTGTCCGTGGTTCTAATTCAAGTGGACAACACGCCTACCCTTCCACGTCCCGCAGAATGCAGAGACATGAGGCCACTGTTCATCAAGCTTCGGCGGGTGTACTACGGATCCCTGACGACCATACTCGTAGTGCCGGATTGGCAGAACGTATTCGCGCCAAGTCAAGCACTGGTCATTCGAACATTCCTCCTCCCCACGCTCCTGCTCCCCCTCTTCCTAACCTCAGCTCCGTTCATCCGGTACTCACGCGCTTCGCACAAAGCTCACGCGTAAACATTCGAGAAGTTCCGTCCCATATCGCCGTCCCGACTCCGGCGCCAGCCAATCCCCAGTCTCGCTGGCCTTCCTCCAAATACGATGACATTTTGTACGAGCAGGACCCGAATGTACTCCGTGCCAGGATCAATCGTTATCCCTTGACGCCTGTTTGCAGCGAACACTGCCCAGAACACATGCGTTCCATAAAATTTGACATGTACGCGCCGCGGCGTCCCAACGATACACTTCAACAAGCCATACATACCGCATTGGCTCAAGGCCGTGCCCTCGATGTATCCGCAGGAGGCCGTTACCGCCGTATCTTTGACGCGCATGACCCAATGGGCATCGTTCCGGAGACTGGAACTGATTGGGCACAGCAGGGTGGTCATCGGTAATTTGATGGAGACTGACGTCTGTTTGTGGAGAGAGTTTTGTTGCTGGTTTACCTACTCGCGGATGTCGTGTGTTATGTATATGCATATGTATATGATTTATGATTTATGAAATGAAATCTATTTGCCATTCGAGGGAGATCATGGTCAGCTTGATGTGTGTTAGAGTATAAGTACTCATGTTTGATAGAGAAATCCAAGTAGCCTTGAAGCTACGCCGGCAACTACTACCAACAGTTGCAGATATCCCTTGAACATCCACTCATACATGAATCCTTCGAGGTCCATTTGCAATGGTCATGGCCCACGTGCAGCACCAGAACAAATTTCTCTTGGACTGAGTAGGTTTGAAACCTGCCGAGAGATGATTTTTCTTCTTTATTACACCTTGACATTCACTTAGTATGTACAGTCCCCCCGAGGTACATCTCAACTTTGTCCTGGCGACAGTGGTGTGCGCAACAGTTTCTCTTGGATTGTCCGGGCTCAAAACCTGCCGACGACAATCTGTTTTTATTGGAACACTCGACATTCAAATATTCACTCATCTCCAGGTGGGGGCAACCTTCAACACCAACACATCATGTATATAATATCTCAACTCTGTCTCGCCAAACATTTCAAAAAAGATCAACAATATCACCGGCGGATAAAGCTGTTTGCAAATGCAAAGACGCTAACACATACGAATTCGATAAGATGTTACGGACTACTCGAGTGAAACAACAGGACGTCGCATCTCGTGAACCAGAAGAGAAGAGAAGTGACCTGCGAAGATAGCGATGAGGGAGGGCCAGTAGAGCAGAGGGAAAGTGCAATGGAAGAAGTCGTGTGTGAAAACCCCAGCTAGAGTCAAGGGTGGAAGGATCCCGCATGGAGACAAGCCCATATGAGGAGCAGCAACACTAGTGTTCGACGGTCTGCGTGAAGAGCTGCTGCTCGATGGCAATTTACTTTGTGGATGTTGTCGATGACTGATGTGCTGAGGGTGGAGGATTCCAATCTAGTTTCATAGGCAACCTGGAGTCCGAGAGACGAGGTAGGCCCATCCAACCGGAAGAAGGGGCAATCAGCCAGGTGCACTAAATTTCATACAAAGAAAAGAAAGGCCAGTAGCCAGGATATAAAACCGACGGGGAAAGGAGAATACCCAGATTAGGACACAATCCAGGATGCAGAAGGATGTTGCCAGGATGCGAGACATCGAGCGCGAAGACTCGGACGGATAATGGGAATCAAGCACACGTATGTGCAGCTAGAACTCAAGCTTCAGGATGCCAACTGTAAGACCAAATATTCGATGCAAAGAACGTAAGAAGCTCGCGAGAGCAAGACGAGAAGCGAAATAGTGAAGGGCCTAGGATGATGCCAGTGAGTCATGGCATGACCATGAAATCCCTTCGGAATCAAGTTCAGCCCGAGTTGTAGTCAGTACCATACGAGGTAGCGTGTCAAACACGGACGAGGAGTAAGGCATGGACAAAGTACTATGAACAAAATGATAAATGATATAAACTTGAAGAGATCGGCATAAGTGCACACTGGACGATGAAAGCAATCGACGAATCTAGTATACTAGCGCACTGGAAAAACAATAAAAACCCGAAAACCCGAAAGGACGAGGGAGGAGGGGGCGAGTTACGCACGAGTTCCAGACTGTGGATTTTAGTTGGCAAGTTCATCCCAACAACGTCACATGAAGGGCACTCATTAATATCCATCCATCTATCCATCCTGTAATCCAGCATCTTGTTCGGCGACACGAGCTAATTCCAACCATCTTTGATGCATTAACTTGTTCGGCGAGAGAGGATTGGACCTATGTTTTCCGTGATCAATGACACATTCTGAAAGCTGTGGAGACATGAGTAGGATGCATGTTTACAGTGCAGTCGAGGAAGGCAATTAATACTCGTAGAGATCACTCTTGTGCTGGAACGGTGATAGTGAACTCGTGTTCTCATATATGGAAACTAGGTAGGTTAGCGGCATGATGAAGCAGCATAAAAACGCCGAATACACGCACCTCTGCAGCTTAGAGAAAGACACCCACAATCCCTGGACCGTGTTCGACACCATCAACCTCCAATCAATGTCAAGCACCATACCCCTTCGAACTTTTGGAGAGCATCAGGGGATCGTAAAGGCAGTCGCAGTATTCCCTGACAAGCGACGAATAGTCACAGCCTCGAACGACAAGACACTTCGTCTGTGGGACTTGAAGACAGGTGTTGTGTTGAAGAAGATGGAAGGACATAGCGGTGGAGTGTGGGCATTGGCGGTATCACGAGATGGTCAAATGATAGCAAGCGGTGATACAAAGGGAGAGCTCATTGTCTGGCACGGAGACACAGGTGAATCCATCACTCAACCCATCAAAGCGCACTCCAAGTGGATCACCTCACTGCATTTTTCTCCTGATGGTACGATGCTGGCCACTGGTTCATGGGACGAAACGACGAAGTTTTGGAGTACCAAAACATGGCGGATGCAAGGAGAACCAATCAAGTGTGATGTTAAGATCAACTGCGTTCGATATTCGCCATCTGGTAAACTTCTTGCCATCGCAACAGATAGCAATAACGAAATTTATAATCCAAGCACGAGGGAACGCGTCGCATCTTTCAGGAGTCACGTGGATTTCACAAAACACAACTCGACACTCGCGTGGACGCCCGATGGCAAACGCCTTCTTTCAGCAGGCAATAAAGACGATCCTACCATACGGGAGTGGGATCCATTAAATTGGGAGCAGGTCGGTCATCCCTGGGAAGGCCATACTCGCAGTATCTACTCCATTGCCATTAATCCCGCTGGCACCCTCGTTGCTTCTACATCTGATGACAACCATCTCCGTCTCTGGCGGCTCTCAGATCAGCGAACCATCGCAATATTCAAGCACCCATCCAGCCTGACATGTGTCACATTTTCTGTGGATGGCAAGCACATCCTCAGCGGAGGTCATGATAAAAAGATCTCAGAGTATCAAGTACCGAGTGATCTCAATTCAAGGGCGAGTTTCCATCCTTGACTCTCATACTTGACGCAATTCGAGCATTCTTCGTATAGATCTTGGATATCACGACAGCCCGCGATGCATGCATCATTGGGGACCTGGACAACGCTGAAGAGTTACTCACCCAAGAGATCGATACCGATGCCAACCCTTATACTTCTTACGCCAATCGCTCATTCATCATGGCCCGAAATCACGACTGGGATCATGCTCTTCAGGATGCAATTGAGGTGAGTTATGCTGACCCGTCATGGTCTTCTTACAAAAGGTTAACCTTCATTCATGACATAGTCCGTCAGTATTCAGCCTTCATTGACAGGCTACATCTCCAAAGGAATCGCCTCCTGCGGAAAAGGCCGCGTCCGGGAGGCAAGGATAGCATTCGACGTTGCATCCGTGTTCCCAAACCAAGATTCAAAAGCCAACCATTTTCTTCTCTTGATCAAGGTAGCTTCAGTTTGTCTTGCATATTCTCTGTTTCACTGTGTGTTCCAGGCCGTTGCACTTTTCAACGCAGATCAACGCGAGGAAGTAATGCTGCTCGTTGAAGAACTCACTGCCGCTTGTCCGAATACCGATCCTCTCGGGTGTCATGTCGTAGAAGTAAGTATCGTGCAGCCACGCTCGGTCATCAACACTGATCTTCGTCACTTGCACATTAGACATATCTACGCGTTCAGCTCGGAATCACAGCCTTGAATGGTGCGCGTTATGACGAAGCTGCTGACCACTTCACTACTGCCGTCAACTCCAGCGCTTTCTCATCGAAAGCCATTCATGAAATATTCGAGGACTTGACCGTGGTGCGTCAAGATGATATAAACATAATATTTTTCATAACTGAGTGCTTTGTCTAGCTCTTCGGCTGGGACGTCAAGTCCTTGCGTCTCACTGCAAACCAGAAACGGTGCCAGGCTTTCCTTTCGGGAGGTAAACCCAATGAAGCCCTTGAAGCACACAATTTCATGATGGATACCATCGACGAATCTGCCAAAGCCAGCTGCCTTGATTGGTCCAATGGCAAGTTTTCATTGACGCCACTCAGACTACATACTCACCACCATTTGACCCAGAATTTAAGGAGCGATGTAGTGCGCTCGCTGCACATGATGACCGTATTCTTGGTGTATGTACTCCCTTTCTTATTCCTTTCTTTACCGACCTGTATGCAGGCGGAGATCGCCGAGCAAGGTCATGATGGCTACGACATAGGACCCAATTTCTTCTATGGAATGCATCAAGTGCGTGCAACAGCGGGTCTTTCTTCTTTTATCTCACATCATTCATTACAGCATTCTCAGATTTCCAGGTCACGACCTCAACAGCGCCCTGGGCGTCTCAAAAGACTTAGGCTCGCTATGACGAGAACCCCTCGTTCAGCTCCTCTACCTGTACCACCCACCACCACCACCACCACCACCACCTTCAAAACTTACTTACGATACCTATTCACCTGGCTGCCCCATCATGCAATGCCGCCGGTTGTCGATGTTCCTTTTGCGCAGGGTCGACAGGTGTGCCCGGTCTATTTTCATAACTGTGTCTTGGGTGTCTGATATGTAAATATACAGCGTAATGCTGCAGCGGGTGCTCCTGGGAGTGAGCACTCTTTGATACGTGATGAAGACTATCATGAACCTCCTACACCGGACCCCAATTCACGGCAGCAAAAGCAAACGGTAGCAGTTCAGGCAGACACCGGGCAACACGGAGGCGGCCGGCCGTATTGCTGTTGCTAGCATTGGTGAATGTGCGGGGGTATTTCAGTTCTATTGTCGCTTCGTACTGGCAGTTCTTGTTTTATTGATAGGTATCCTTATTTCGTGTCCTCATCTATAGCTAATCACAACCATCAAACTCGCATCCTCCATTTGTACACCTTGCCTTGCACACAGCAAATGAATCCTGATACATTTTGACTTCACCCGAGGACATTGGTCTGTCAAAGTTGGTGGATATCTTGAATTTGCCTGAGTCCTGCACGGACGATAAATCGGAGGACGGCCTCCATGACGCGATTGAATCATAAGTTGAAGGGGCACTTCCGAAGACTTGTATCACCTATACCATTCTTTGCCAAGTGATGCATATTGCTACATACATGATCTTGACATCGGTGGTTGGAAAGCTCAAGACACCATGAAGGAGTGACCTGCTGAGGCATGCATAACAGAAAATGGGGGCTCGGTAAGAACGACAGACTGAGATATGATGTTAAACTTCCTCCCAGTTGGTGCCAGTACCAGTACAAATGGGATGACTCAGGAGTATTGTCGCAGCTGTGATGGACCCGGACAGAAGGTAATAAGATAGGCCTTGTCAGTATGAAATCTATGATGTTGGTTATTGGCGCTTAAACATTTGTGAGGCCAAACTTTGATATCATATCTAGATGCTATATGCGAGAGACGTTTCCATCTATAATGTTAAATCAGGGCACTTCGTAAAGTGCCGGCAGCATTCTCGCAGCCATAAATACTCCAATAACATCGATCGACGCCATCCAGCAGCATCGCCACTTTCAGTTCTTCTCTATAAATTGATTAAAGATCTCTTCGACCTCCCAAGCGCCCGCCCAGTACTTGACTTGACACTGATGACCGCCTTCTCGAGAAATGCGGCCCTCGAGGCCACGGAACCGCCGGCAGAGCACTAGATCCTGGCTACTAAACCTCAGCAACGAGATCAAAGTAGAAAACGATGCAGATTTACCTTCGCAGTCTGAGGATAGGACAAAAGTCATTAGACCCATCTCCAACATAGACGATACGGTCGTAGCCAGGCTTGTGGCGCTTCAAAAACGCAGCGAGCTCTTCACCTGGGTGTTGCGTTAGCTAAGATTTTGCGGTCGTATGGAGCGGAACAAATGACCTTTACACATGTTGGGGCTGCATCCGACTGCACAGCTGTGCTGAGGCCCGTCGGGGTCGACTCTACGACGGAGCTTGAGCAAACCCGAAGGATCAAACTCTGCTGGGTTAGTCACGATTTCTTCAAACAGGTTTTGCAGCCCTTTGGACTGCGATCCTTCATCAGCCAAAGCGACGAACTCGAAACGCGAGGGAAGGCACCTCGAGAATAGTGTTGATGAAAACAGAGTTAGCGTTAGAGAGGCAAAATAATGTGGTGGTGGGGTTGGACGCTCCCTTGAGGTTGGTGATACCGCGTACCATGGCGGGGTGCTAAAAGTATATGCTTCAAGACGCCTACTCCCCTACATGCGAGTTACTCACGAACGGCATTTGACGGAGGGTATGTTCGATCTCCTCACGCGTCCTGCCGCGTGCATGAATTTCCTGCAACGACTGTGCTCTGCAAGCCATGTGAGGTTGATTGGATAGGAAAATGGAGTGCACGGACATGAGATCGGTCCATTGAACGCTTTGTTGGAGCGTTTTCATCTTTCTGCGGATATCAGGCGCCAAGACTTCGAATACCCAGCGATCGGTGTCTTGATCTGCCATTGACCTAGGATGCGAGACATGTATGATAAATGACGGAGCGAATGAGAATGAATTACCAGTCAAAGTCGAAGACGATCAACTGGGTTTTGATCGCGGTCATGGTGGTTAAAGAGATAAGTCGATCTGAGAATGGTGAGCTTGTTGTTGTGCGTCGCGGTGTTTAAAAGTGTACATTATTGGAAGGTGGTTGTGTGAGCGCAAAGTCGACGATGCCTACGACATTGTGTTCCGCCAAAGCATCCTACAAAAAACAACCCGGTACTCTCGAACTAACAGATTCACTTTTAATATGGACACAAGAAGGCAAGAAAACACCAGCAGTTCGTGTTCAGCACCCAGAAGCATCTTGTAAGTAAACTCAATTCACATCACATCAAGCTCATTATCGCTTCCAGCTCTGTTCTGCAGCAAAGAAGGCGCTGCTCAAGTCCGTCTCAAACTTGGACTTGTAAACGATGAAGCAGGACATAATTTCACCTTCACTTCGCCTTCAGCAGTCGCGTACGCCGAGCGGGAAGCATTCAAGCAAGAGCTCACAAACATCATCTCTCGAAACCGGAGCGCTGCGCCGACGCCTTTACCAAAACCGACACCACTCAGCACACCTGCAAAGACACCCGCACCAATCCCATCCACATCCCGTGCCACCTCCGTCTCGAGCGACACTCGCACTCCAATCCTCTCCGGTATAGATGCAGCAACTGACTTTCGCCTCAGAAAAAAAGTCCTCCTTTCGAATCCTGAACTTTTGGTGCTACATAAGGAGCTTGTCATGAGTGGTCAAATTACTGAGTCTGAGTTTTGGGATGGTAGAGAGGTATCGTATCCTGCCTTTATACACCCCTTTCTTGTCCTGAGTTATTACGAAGCACCTCTTGCTTGCAGAAGCTGCTGCAGAGGGCCAGAAACGCGGGCGTCCAGGCCAGCTCGTCGACCCTAGACCACAGACCGTAGAAGGTGGCGAGGTCAAGATTGTTATCACCCCACAGCTAGTCCACGACATATTCGACGAGTTCCCCGTCGTTGCAAAAGCGTACAACGACAACGTTCCTAACAAGGTCCGTCCCAAATCTGCATTCATTGCCTTTATCTAAACTGCACCGCTACAAGCTTTCAGAAGCTGAGTTCTGGAAGAGATATTTCCAGTCAAAGCTCTTCAACGCCCACCGCGCTTCTATCCGTTCCTCAGCTACGCAGCACGTCGTAAAAGACGACCCTATATTCGACAAATACCTAGAGAAAGACGACGATGGTACACCACTTCTGTCTATCCTGAAATTCACCCCCGTCATTTCATTCCACAGAGCTAGAGCCCCGAAGAGCACGAAACGAAGTCTCGGACCTTTACATCAATATAGGAGCGACACTCGAGGACCATGTAGAGGTAATACCTTCACCATATTTTGTTCATGTTCTTTCTTACCCTGAACAGACAGGAAACGAAAAGGACGTGACAATGCAAGCCGGAAGACAACGCGGGGCCCTCCCTCTCATCCGAAAATTCAATGAGCATTCTGAACGATTACTCAATTCCGCTCTGTCTGTCTCTTCTTTTCAGAATCCATACTGATCTTGATGAGCTCAATGTATGACAGAGGCGAAGTACCACCCGCCAAACGCCGACGCATTGATAGTGGTAACGATGAGGACGACGACGCATACGCTCAGATCACGCTCGATGATCTAAGGGACTCAGAAGCTATGAGTGGAATCACGCTCCAGATGCAAGACCGCGAGCGCTATTTCGAGGGACAGCTTGCTCGAAGTGCTTCAGAGCAGGCAGGTAGTGAGGTGCGTTTCCCTCCATTCTATTTTCTTGTATCTCAAAGTACTCACACTCCGAATGATCAGGTCGTTGACGTCCGCGCAGCTTTTGCAGAATTGAAACATGGCTTTAGGGGTTGGGAGACGCGATTCAGTCAGGTAACGTCTCCTTTTTTGATGTATCGACGACACACTCCTAATTCCTTCACAGCTTCGAATAGACAAAAGAGCAGGAGACGCAGCGCTCGACTCAATGACTCAAAATGTCTCTGCGCGATTAGATATCCGCACTAGAAAAAGTGTGTACCCGTCAACTACCACCACCTCTTTCATTCAAACCCTTGCTTTAAAGCTGATTTCCCGCCAACGCTCTTCCGCCAACTCACGACATGCCAAACGGCCGCAAACGAGTTCCTGAGGCAATTCTGGACTTCTCTCTATCCTCCCCCAACGACTACTTCATCCGGCGCCACGCCCTCTCAAAGCGCAGCTAAAGCAGCTAAGATGGCGGGTTACCTCAGTAAGACGCGCGAGAAAGTCGAGGCGCTCGTGCGGGCGGGTCAATTAGAGGGTGTGGAACCTGAGAGGGTAGAGGTGGTGAGTCTTTGTTCTCTTCTTTTGTTTGGATCATTGGTGCTGAACGCGCTTTTATGATAGGCTATGAAACCCCTCTTGGACGCTGTCGAGCACGCGCTTGCGTTTTATAGGGCGCGGAGTGCAAAGACTTCAACGCTGAAAACCGCGTAGTGCGATTCAGGAGGGCGATTGCGTATCTCAGCATGTAACATAGCCATAGTGCATTGATATTTTACAGCATATAATCTAATCAGCTTTGAGCATGTGTCCCTCCAAGTTCCACGAGGTGGTGAAATCCAAAGCGAGCGGTCAACAAAAGATTATCTCGCTTAAGACTCCACCATGATTAGTAGGGTCCTGGCTGAACCTGCAGCTGCCCGCTCGACCACGCACACTCATACACCGTGACGACAACTAAGAGATGCAACGCTGCCGCATAAAAGATAAACGCCGTACGTGCACGCCGGTTCCCAATAATCCCCCGCGTGAGCATGAGCACACCTCGCTCGACAGGGTTGAGAGCCTCATATGCACGTGTCGCTTCCTGAACGACAGTCATCAGCCCAGCACACACGAAGCCCAAGTACAGGACACATACCCTCCCACGAAACGCTTCAAACGGATTCATCGCTTCCTCATACCTCGTGCGCCATTTCCCTAACTCGTCCCTTCCACCGCCACCACTTCCACTTACATTCCCGCTTCCGCTTCCGTTAAATGCCGAGGAAGAAGACAGCGGAAGAGGGTCAAGCTGCGAGACGGATCCTTGTTCGCGGTATGATTGCATGTAACGGACTTTCTCGTAGAGCTTGAGGTTGTCGGATTGGAGGGATTTGATTTCGGTGCGGAGTTCTGAGATGGTGTGGTAGTGTTTGCGCAGTTCCTGGGTATGGGTTAGCATCGGGCGGGATGAATGACGACAGAAGAGGTGGAGCAGAAACGTGAATGCGAAACTTGATGCTTACTTCCTCAAGCTCTGCGTTCCTTTGCCGGAACCGATCCCGCTGACTGGTTACGATAGGAAGAATCGAGGTATCGGCGGATGACGTGAAAGGTATCGGTGTCGAGCGTGTGGTGCTTGGACCCGCTGCGTCCTGTCATATCAATTGTACCAGCTGCCCAAATTAACTCCTTCAAATGTAGACAAACCTTGGTCCGTAAGCCAAATTCGAGCCCAAGCCCCGAAATCCCACCCTCCCCGTTCTCCCCACCCTCCTCTCTTGACCCGCCCCCATTGTTGGTGTTCAGAGCAAGTAGGTCCGTCTCGAGTTTCTCACAAAGGGCTTGTTGCTTGGCAAGTTCTGCGTGCGTGTCTGCGAGCTCATCTTGTGTACTTTTGAGGGAAGCTTCAAGAGATGTGTGGAGGATCTATGGAACAGAAAGTTGGACAAAGAGGTCAAAATTAACAGTAAGCATACCCTAAATCGAGTCAACTCCTCTAATATCCGTTTATTCTTCGTCGCAAGGAGCACTTCAAGACTCTTGCCGTGCTGTGCATTTGCTTTGTCCGCATTTGGATTTGGCAGATGTACTCCGTCTTCGTCTTCGTCAGGACTTGACCAATCATCATCGGGGTCGAGACCTGCAAATTCAACGTACTATCATGGGGTCGACACGATGAGGAGGACACACGAGGGAAAGGCGCACCTTCAGAATCTCCAGTTCTCGCTTCACCTCATCGTAATCTGCGTATGTTTTTAGTTTGATCTTGAGAGTGTCTACTTCTGCACGAGCAGAGTCTGCTTCACGAGCCTGTGGCGTGTTTATGTTATCATGAGGTATGTCTCTCCAAACTTAAAACGACACCTACCTTCTCTGAAATCTGGTCCTCTGATCGCGCTGCAGCGCTTCGTGCGACGTCAACGGCGCTTTCGAGTCGCGTGCGCTCGGATTCAAGCTCGGAGAGACGAGTTGTTAGCGATCTAACACTGTTCAAACATATGCATGTCAGTTGGGTTGAGAGCACGCATAAGAGTCAAAACACTCAGAAAAAGTGGGTGGAGGGGAAAGCGAAATGGAAGATCAGACGTACCGTTCACTGCTTTCGCTGCCAGTGCGCAATGCCTCGATCTCTCCACGGAGTGCTTCCTGTGGAAGTAGTCAGTGTCATTTCAGAAGAGTAATAAAAAGGAAAATAGTAGGGTGAAATGCATGCATAACAACGAAGGGAAGGTGGTGATATGTCAACCATGTGACAGCTGTATAGTAACTGGGGTGGACGCATGCAAGATGATGCGTAACAGATAGTGTGGAACAACAGAAAAATGACGAACAAGGAGTAGAGGCTGATACAACTTACATTCCGCTGCTCGACGGTCACGACTCTGCTATTCGCACGTTCCAAGTCGACCATGATCATGTCAGCTTCTGCGAGACGGGAAATAACTTCCTGGTCTAAGTAGAAGTGTCAGCATGCAAGAATAATGAAGCAGCAAGAAGGAAGCAAAGCAGCACAACTTGCCTTGACGCTGGCTGTGATCAAAAAGCTTCGCTTGATTCGATTCGTTCGACAGTCGGAGATCGCGCACTTGGTCCCTATATAGTGCAACCTGGCGATGCAAGTCCTGTTCCCTGCGTCTCAATCAGCATCATGCAACTGCAAAACATTGACCTACGTAAACAACACGCCACGTACCGTTCCTCGTAATTACGCATGCGTTCGTCGTACGCAGCATTGATCTCAGACTCCTTCTGCGCGACAAGCTCGTCCATACGCGTCTCCAACTGTTCGACACGACGCTTGGACCCATCAAAAGCGCTAGACGACTGTCGAAGCTCAGCGTTCTCAGCACGCAACCGGGCAACTTCAGCTTCCAGTGCATGCGCTTCTGTGGCTTTAACCGTTTGGTCCTACGTCCGTGTAAAATTTGGGAGAAGTGAAGAAGATGGGTGAGACGCACGACAGCAGCTTCGAGTAGAGGATATGGATCCGGTGCTTCAGCGAGGACCTTGTACACGTTGAGGAACGCATTCTCAGAAACCTTTGACCGCTTCGTAAGGTTGTCGATCTCTGTCTGGTACGCTACGCCAAAGTTAGCAATTGATAGCAGGTCACCGAGAAGAGGATATGCGAACCTTTGAGCAAGCCTTTGAACGAGTTCAACTTTTCGTCATCTGGAATCTTCTTGAACTCTACAGAAAGTTGAGAATAGCCGAAAATCAAAGAAGGTATGCACGCGGACCTTTTGTGCGGTCAGCAAGCTGCTTGCGACCCAGTACAGATTCCTTCTGGTTGTCGACGATCTCGATACCTTGAGCGTCCAGCGTCTTTTGCAGCTCGTGCAGCTTGATGTCTGCACTTGTTAGCTCGTCGTTTCATCCATCTAATTTGCTTTACGTACCCTTCCATGTTGCCAACGCACCAGAAAAGTTGTGCTCTGCTGCGCTCATGGTCAACCGCGTCCTAGTCTAAGCGTAGTAGGCCACGTGACTCTAGTATTCAACTCGGCGATAGCTATATTAGATGTACAAATAATGCAAAAGAAATGGTCACTGAAGCTGAGCGCTGAGATCTGAGACTCGATATTCTGACTCACAGTTTCTATACTAACATATTCTTTGCAAATTTGAAGTCCACATACTATGGGCTCGTTTTCGTCGCCCTATTGGCACCAGTGTGCCGAGTGCTGCCAACTTGCCGGGTCGTACCGGTACGAAGTCAACTTACGAGGAGTAGAAGGTGACAAACGATGACCAAAGTAGTGAACCGCTCTACAATATTGTCGTTAGAGTCAGCTCTACAACATGCCAAGACTGCGCTAACGTCATCCCACCTCCTTTCCCTTCCCCAATTTGCTCGGGAGGCCCCCCTACCGCGTGTCAATGCTTGGGTGGACAAGTGCGAGCTGCCTGGTGCTATGGCTCACTTGTGCTTAATGCATACTATACTGCCTTTTCGCATGGCAGAAGCCTTCTGACCATCCAAACTCAACCAGCTCCCGGCATAGAAGAAGATTCTCGTCAAATTGGAAGATGCTCTTGGTTCGGACGCGGTTTGGCAGTTTCTACCGATGGTATGTTTTCGCGATTTCAGAGACGCATATCTAAGCTCATTCAAAGACCGGCTTGAACATTAAATATCAGAGATCAGTCGTCTTCAAAACTCCATCTCCCATCTAAAACACACGCAAGAAAGAACTCCAGGAATATGCAGACGACCCAGACATCGCACAAGCAATAAAAAAACCAGACGTCAGTACAAGGTAGTACATGGACTTTACTAAGATCGACGCATGCGTTCACAGAGCATCGCAAGATGAGTGAATATTCATGCTCAAATTGGCACTCACTCGGCGTGGAGAATCGAATGCCACTAGCGCTCAGTATGACCTTCCTCCTGAACCGGAACCTGAAAGTAGAAATGGTAGGCATGCCAGTGGTCGATTTGGGACTGGGGATAATGGACTCGAGCCGTTGGATGCACCTCTCCCGGGAGATAGCTCGGGTTTGGGGCCATCAAATTCGACTGGGGAGGATGGAGAAGACAGTGGTGTGCATTTTTAGTCCTTCATCATCCTTTATCATAATTGCCGCATTGTACATCATCTAATCACTTTATGCATTGGTTAGGCAAGATGTCACGAATTGATCCTTTCAGTGCCAGTGAGCTCTGGTTAATGTGCGTATGAAACGGGCTCCCAATTCCAATGCGAATGATTCTCCGTATTGAAATATTAATCACCGATTCTAGTTCTGATATACACTCGAGTCTGAATATTTTAGAATGGTGGAAGTGGCATTAAAGGTGGAATACATGTCTTCAATCCTTCAGTGAAAAGTAAAACGGAAAATGATCATGATAACATCAGTCCTTGCCAGGTAGATTGCTTGAAGTCACTAAATGTGCGCTATCCACACGAAAGACATTATCATTTTGGTAAGACAAGCGTCTATGCAAACGGGCACACATCTTTTTATGAATGGGATCTTGTACCTCGCGTTCCTCTCATGCTCTCATCCAAGCAAGAAACTCGTAATACGTCCATCCATGACTGCCACATCTACCACACCGTCAACACAATCCAATCAGGCGTCGAATTCGATCTTAACGCCATGCAAGAATGGTGGTACGAACACAATGCTGTCAATGGTCTTCGAGAAGGATGGTCATAGAAAGGGTACTCATCGCAAAGCTGCCTGCACACAAACCGTTGGTCATGCAGGCAGAGCGTATAAGTGATATCCTTGCGCGAGCACCGCTCGTACATAATGATGCGCAGCCTGATGGAATTAATATTGCCTCGGATCGAAGCATTAACGGCGCTGCGAGCCAAAGGGAGTGACTTCAGCACGATCCCGGAGGTCAGCGAAATAAAGGAATTCGGCGACATGGCCAAGGATAGCGTCTTGAAGGGGTCAGCCTCGCTGCCTGACTGCACTAGCGATCTGCCGCACATCGACATGAGAGTTCGTAACGCACCTATGAAATACATACTAGGGGGGAATGAGACGTCGTTTAGACGGAAAGACAGAATCGACTAAATAAAACCAACGTCACGTACCCTCGAAACCTGCAAATTCAACGTACTATCATGGGGTCAACACAATGAGAAGGACACGCAAGGAAAGGGCGAACCTTCAGAATCTCCCCATAGTAAAGCCAGGCAGGATCATATATACTAGGAGATGACTATGATAAGACAATAGAATGCTAGCCTACACTTTGGCTGAATATCACGCGAGTGTTGTTCTATGGGCGTTTGGTTCAAGCGACGGTGGTGGCTCAAGTACATGTTGTAGACTGTATGCGCTGAGGTAAGGAGACATGCATCAAGGTGTACAGACATATGCATCGAGTCACGTACTTCGGTCAGTGAGTCGAGGAGCCGTGAACAACATTTCACACAGGCAGAGCGCCTCTGTTAGCAATCGTAATGCCAGCCATGGCGTCGACAAATGCAAAGCAATGTGGCAAGCCAAAGAGAGAAAGCAGTGTATAATATTTGTATATGAAAAATGTACAGGACTTCAATAAATATTTAATTCAGATCCACGCGGTGTAAACGTAGCATAAGCAAACTGTATAAGGAAAAAAAGACCGTGTTCGGGATTGGTGACTTGCCGCTACTACGATTTCGAACTTGACATCTGCAGACTGCAGCACTCAATGGACTATCATTCAGTATATTATTTACAATACAATACATGTCAGGTAGTCTGCACATAAAATGAATCGAATATGACGTCTTGATTACTGCACCGTAGGGAATAATGGGCACTACAATAAAAAACCAACTCGTCAGTACCAGTCAAAACACGGATAACAAGATGATGGACGCACAGAATGTCAAAGGGATACAACCTCGTGGGTGGCAGCAGCCCAACCCGAAGGAATGAAGAGACGTCCTTCGGGTCCGTGAACATTATTGGGGATTGCGGCCTGAGAATGGCATGGCGCTGAGGATTTGATGTGCGCACGAAGGAGATCGTGACGGCACATCACGACTCCGCACGCAGAGCAACACACTTTGACACCAAGGTGAGTAAGGAGGTGTCTTTTCATGCTTCCCTTCTTGAGTGTCTTGGAGCAGCTAGTGATGTGCACGGCTCGGCTTGAGGCCCTGGGCCGGCCCAAGCCGGGCCCAAATAAGCCGGGCCCAGCCCAGGCCTAAGTCACGGCCTGAGGAAGGCTTGGGCCTGGGCTTGAGTTTCGAAAAGCCTGAGCCGGCGGCCTAAGCCGCGGCTTTGGCATGTTCAGTGGCAGTGACTCACCGGAGGTACGTTTCCCGACTCTATTTTTGTAGCACAGGTTCAAGTTGCAACCTCAAGGTCGATCGAGAGCAACGCCACTTTGCTGACATGCCATTGCAAGGCTACGAAGGACGATGTACTATGAATATTTGAATGCCCGCCGACGACCGGCATCAGCAAAAATGTGAACTACAACATAGCACTACAGATGCTACAGAGTATGTATAGCTTGGTTGCAACCCCCCCATCAACATAGCAATATATAGCACAGGCTATCCTACTTTTTGCGCAACATTGCAGCCTGTAGCTTGCACCTCAACTATGTAGTCGTGCTATGTAGTCCTACATAGTCTACCATACCATGCAGCCAAAATCATAGTTGTAGTAATTTGTTGCCCTCGGATTTTGTTACCCTCGAATAATATTGGAGGAGCAATGACATCCATTCACTAGCACACTTAATCAAGGAATTAGTTATCCTACTCGTCCTCACCATTGTCACCGTTGTCATCAGATTCACTGTCAAGCTCATCCGCACTGTCGCTCTTATTCCCGCCATCACCCCCCTGCATAGATTCCCGAATCGCATTGTTGATCTCAACATCAGACAGATAGTCTCCGCATGTAACATCCATCGTATCCACTCTAGCATGTGTTCTGTAGTAGTATGTGAGACACGAGGAGACGAAAATATGGAAAGAGACTTCACCTCCCATTGACGTTAATGTCCTTGAGGATGGAATCAAGGATCCCATGGGCTTTCGTTCGTGAATCGAACTTCCTAAGATTGGCGAGGTGTTTATCATATACTGCTTTATACTCGCCACTTGAAAAATTGATGTCGCTCCGCTCTCTGTCAGTCCATTCATCGATGCAACACTCTGCCTGCAGTAGATGATGTCACACATGAGCCAAACGACAAAATTGAACATGCACGACTCACCGCGGTATATAACAAGGCTAGCGCAGGAATGGGAAATGGTGTGAAATACTTCTCAAACATGATACCTTCATCCCTCTTATTCTGGTACCAGAGTAAATTGGCACCCTTCTGATTCAACCTCGTCTTATAGAGGCCACTGCGCGGGACATTTCTCTTTTTGTCTCCAATGTCCTTGGAATCAATTGTAAGTGTGCGACAGAATCCCGTGTTGTTTTCAGGTGCGAGCGGACGAGTTCAGATGGAGCTAATAACGAAAACGATCTCAGTACTTGGGACAAGACTCTTTGTATATTTGGTATATGTACCTAATAACGAAAACGCTACGAGAAACGTTAGCTACGTGTTCGTCGTGTCGTGCAACTAATGGTACTCACATCTCAGTACTTGGGACAAGACTGAGATGCGTCTATGTATCTGACTCGAACTATAAGGTAAAACGCGTAGGAACATATATTAATCAGAGACAGGAAAAATAAGGGAGGGCACGAGCTGCTGTCAACGCGCGCTCGTCCGTTTCCGCTTTAGCATGCGCTCGTACCTCATGCATCGGATTCATTGGCCTTCGTCTGTTCGTAACTCGACACTCCCCCTCGAGCGCAAGCTAAGCTCATCTGACCCCGGAGGTTCTGTAAACGAGGGCGAGGCATTGCCTTTGTAAAGGCATCTGCAATGTTGTGCTCCGTCGGGCAATAGAACAATGCAAATGTGCCATCCTTGATGTGCGCACGAATGAAGTGATACCGGATGGATATGTGTTTGGTACGAGATTGAAATTTCCCGTTCGAAGCAAGAGCGATGGCGGCTTGGTTATCGCAGTAGACGGGGGTGGGGAGACCTGGAGACTCATACAGTTCTTCAGTGAGGTACTGTAGGTATAGTAGCTCTCGGGCGACAGTGGTTAGCGCGATATACTCTGCCTCGGCAGTAGATAAAGCGATCAATGGCTGCTTACGTGCGCTCCAAGCAACGGGGCCCCCATTCAACATTACGACGTATCCTGACATTGAATGCCGATGAGGCTGGGACGCCCAGTCCGCATCTACGAACGCCTCGAGGCCAGCATCTGTGGAGCCAAGGGTGAGTTCGAAGTGGGCTGTGGCTTTTAGGTAGCGCATGACACGCTTTGCAGCTTCCCAATGAGCTTTGCCAGGGTTTCGCATGAATTGCGAGAGGGTAGCGACAGCGAAGGAGATGTCTGGGCGGGTGCTGGTGGCTGCATACATGATTGAGCCAATAGCTCGTTGGTAAGGCACATCGCACATGGCTTGAAGCTCAGTGTGCGTGGAAGGACATTGGTCTGAGGACAGTACCGTCCCAGGTTCCATCGGCGTTTGCGCGGATTTCGCGTCAGTGAGGTAGAAGCGCTCTAGGATGGTATCAATATAAGCTTTTTGCGAGAGGGAAATGGTGCGTCCTGATCGGTCGCGAGTGACTTTCAAGCCTAATAGCCAGTTCAATTCTCCAAGATCCGTGATCTCAAAGAACTCGCGAAGCTGGGATTTGAAACACTGGATGTGTGAGGTATGGGAGGAGGTTACTGCCATATCGTCGACGGATACGGTGACGACCGTGTGTTCCTGCGGGGTGTGCTTAAAGTAAACAGCTTGGTCAACCTGCGAGCGACTGAATCCAATTCTCGAGAAAACACCGGCCAGTTCTTCCGCCCACTCAAACCCTGCTTGCTTTAACCCCGGCAGACTTCTCCTCAACTTCAGAACCTTTCCTTCCTGCCCTCTTCTCAAGTAGCCAGGCGGCGCCCTCATGTAAATCTCTTCCTGGACATCCGCATATAAGTACGCACTTTTGATATCCACTTGATGGATTTCCCAGTCGAGCTTCGCGGCCATAGCGAGGACGGTTCTGATGGTGGCCATGTTGCATGTGGGTGCAAACGTCTCAAAATAGTCGACGCCGTATTGTTGTCGCTGCCCATTTGCAACAAGGCGCGCGCGGAGTTTGAGCTTTTCGCCGTCCGGTCCGCGTTTAGTGGCGAGGACGTAGTGACATGGGATGACATTCGCGTCACGTGGTAAGTCGGTAACTTCCCAAGTGCCGAGTTTCTCCAATTGGCTGATTTTATAATCAATAGCCTCTTGCCATTCTGCACCGTCTTGACCGTTCAGCGCCTGCTGCAATGAGGGCTCTGGGTGCACTGCAGCCATAGCGTACTGGTGAGTAATGTCCTCCTCATCTGCCGGTACTGACTCTTCTTCTTCCAGCTTTTGAATTTCGGCTGCAAGATTAGCGCGCTCCCCCTCATTGAGGGCGGTATAATAACCTGGCGGTGGGCGTACTCTGGTAGACCGTGGAGCTGCAGGAGGTTCTGGTGGCGGGTTGTGGGTTCTTGGAGGGGTGGTGGGCGCCGGTATGTGGGTTCTTGGAGGTGACTGATTTGCTGATGAGTCCTGGGCGCTGCCTTTTGTGACGACTTTTGTGACGACAGGGTTAGACTCCCCCTCGACCGGGACTCCATTAGCGACATCAACCGACTCAGGTATGAAGGTGACATTACGCTCAACCGAAACGCGCCTCTTACCCTCCCAATAGATGCGATAGCCCTTACTCTGGGCATCAACCCCTACAAACAAGCCTTCTTCGGCCCTAGGCTCCAACTTGCCAGCTCCCTCCACATGGACAAGGACTCGGCTGCCAAATTCGTGGGCAGATGAGAGATCGGGCCGTTCATTATGGACGAGTGTGTATGGCGTGTGGCCCGGTATGGACCTGGAAGGTAGCCTATTCTTTAGCCACACAGCGTAACCAACTGACTCTGCCCATAGGAACTTCGGCAGGTCCCGCGCAATCAACATGGCACGCGCATGCTCCACGAGTGTCCGGTTCAGGCGTTCAGCCACACCATTCTGCTGCGGGGAATCATGGACCGTCAGCTGCCGGGTAATGCCACGCTCCTTCAAGTAGGCGTCAAACTCTGCACTGAGGTATTCGCCTCCTCGATCGGACCGAAGGGTTTTGATACGAAGTCCATCGTTCTGTGTGGTAAGTCGCACTTCGTATTGTTTGAACGCTTCTAACGCCTCGCTTTTGTGCCTCAGGAATGCCACTTGGGTCTCGCGGGAGTAATCGTCGGTAAAGCTCATATAGTAGCTGGAGCCGGACAGACTCATGGTCTGGGCAGGTCCCCAAAGATCGGTATGTACCAACTCCCCGTACGCCGTCGTACGTTTCGTGCTTTCCTTCGCAAACGGCTGATGGGCAGATTTTGCCTTCGTACAGGCCTCGCAGAATTCCTCGGCAGACGTGGCGTCAAGGTTGATACCGTTGACAAGTCCCTTCGTGACAGCGTGCCTTACTGCAGACTGTGATATGTGGCCAAGGGCCTTATGGACGGCATGTATGGTGAGTTTTCCTGCTGCCAGGTTCGCATGATGCTTAGCCTGTGCAGCCACACTGTATAGGCCATCTACTTGGGGAATGGTCGCAATGACAGTGCGTTTGGGCCCGGCGGAGAGTATCCTGCACATTCGGTCCTCGAAATGGACTGCCATACCCCCTGCCGTTATACGATTAGTCGATATAAGGGTAAATGCCATTTTTGGGGCATAGAGAGCGTTCTGGAGGGTTACAGTCGTTCGCTCTTTCCCATTGGGTAAGTCCAGCTTTACACTGCCTCTTCCTACGGCACTGATAACTGAGCCATCGGCCGTATGCACATCCTGTGGCTCTATCTCGACGAAGTCGAGAAATTTGGCTCTGTCAGGGCAGAAGTGAGAAGTGGCGCCTGAATCAACGATGGCGCTGCGACGAGCAACAGGTACGTCAAACTGCTTTGCAACAGTGGCTAGATCTGACGTAGCGAATGCATAGTTGGTCGCGCTGTCTGCCTCGGATGTATTAGCTGCGTTGGCGCCCTCTTTTGGCGTGCGTCCAGGCCTCTTCTGACGTTGATTCGGCCCTTGGCCCTCTTTTCCGCCTCCAGGCCTCCAACAGTCCGTTTTGTAATGGCCTTTTCTCTCACAATTGAAGCAGGTAACGTCCGCATTCTCTTTGCTTGTGCCCCCAGACTTTTTACCTCTCCCAGGAGCAGACTTGGCTACAAGAGCCGAATTTCCACTCTTCTTGGAGCCACGCTTATCCGTCAACAGACGGTGCTCGTACTCCTCACTGATCACTGTGATGAGTTCGTTCGACGTGAGTGGTGTCTGCGTTATCCTGGCTGCAGCGCTGATGGACGACAGAATGGGTCTATATGACTCTGGCAACGAGCCCAAAAGGATGGCATGGAAATCGCGATCTTCAATGGACATTCCCATCCCGGCCAGGGACTCTCGCAGCCTCAAGAGCTCGGCGAAATGCGCCTTGACGTCGCCGTTCTCCTCGCAGCGTAAGTCCTGCAGGCGTCTTCGTAGGTCTACCTGCACTAATTCCGTCTTTCCTTCGTGGATTTGACAGATTTCGGTCCATATGCTCGACGCGCTGTCGAGCTTCTGGACTCGTAGCAGCATCCTATCAGTTATTGTGCTGAAGACGTGCTGCCTAACAAGTGAGTCTTTCTGGTAGAATTCATCTAGCTTCTCATCGACCTCCTCTATCTCCGTTTGCGTAGGAGTCGAGCCATCTGATTTCCTCACTGCGCCCGTGGTCGCATCTACCTTGAAAGGTATCGGTTTGATTGCCCGGCCGTCCACATAACGCATCAGACCTCGCGCGCCAATTGCCGTCAACATGCGTTCCTTGTAGGTTATCCAATTAGTGCCGTCCTCGGCTAACTTTGGTATGTTGAATAGGTTCGAATTGGTGGTGGGGAGCGTGGTGTCCATTGCCGGTTCAGGGCTCATAACCTGTTGTTTTCAGGTGCGAGCGGACGAGTTCAGATGGAGCTAATAACGAAAACGATCTCAGTACTTGGGACAAGACTCTTTGTATATTTGGTATATGTACCTAATAACGAAAACGCTACGAGAAACGTTAGCTACGTGTTCGTCGTGTCGTGCAACTAATGGTACTCACATCTCAGTACTTGGGACAAGACTGAGATGCGTCTATGTATCTGACTCGAACTATAAGGTAAAACGTGTAGGAACATATATTAATCAGAGACAGGAAAAATAAGGGAGGGCACGAGCTGCTGTCAACGCGCGCTCGTCCGTTTCCGCTTTAGCATGCGCTCGTACCTCATGCATCGGATTCATTGGCCTTCGTCTGTTCGTAACTCGACATCCCGTACATTGTGCACTCACCCGGTAACACAATCCAAACTTATCCTTGAGCTCATGTACAAGCCGGCGATTCCTAGACTTAACTGATTCCCTTGTGCTGCAGTCAAAGCCATAAAGGCTCTCCACGAGAGGTCGAAGCTTGGCCTTCACCTCACTTGTGAGGTGTGAGGTGCGGCGCGTGATCTTGAGCAAAATATTAGGCAGTTGAAACAATAGAGACAAATTGCGTACCATCTGTATTATCTCGCTGTTGAATCCTATCTCAATTTCGTGTGTGGTACAGGCCTCCCTCCAAGCTTCCTTGGCCCATGACACTTGCGTCATGCGATCTGGATAAGCATACTGTGATGCAAGCCGGCCACGAAAATCTCCGATAGCGAACTTGATGAGTTGCTGCACAGCGACTTCATAATCACGTGCTGCAACACGACCCTTGCTTTTGCGAATTTTGCATGGCAGGCGTGGCTCATATTGCTGCGGGGAAGGTGAATCCTCTGAGAAATCTTCAGTGGTGCGCCTGCGTTTGCGATTGCGTGGTCTATTGCACTCCTCATCAGAAGAGTCCAGGTAACCTGGGTGCTTGCGAGAATCTGCAAGAATATTCAGCTGCTATTCAAGCAATGGAATCCGGCCTACCCTCATCATCAGAGACATTGTTGTGATCAGCATCAGTATCCTGACTATCGATGGGTGCGAGGTTGCCATCGTACTCATTCTCCTCAAAAGTGTCGCCCATGTCATCATCTTGATCCTCAAAGGTAGTATGCGCAGTCTGCACCTGTCGAAGCTTAATAAGTTCATTTGCGCGAGCTGCCATTAGTTTTTGCTGTGCCATCGGAGGCTTGGAATCAATCAGTACACACATTGAAGTCAAGATAGTCACACTTACGGCGCTCCCAGATTGAGCCATCTGTGCCGACATGTTGCTGTTGGAGGTACACGCATGACTAGCATTAATAAAGCCTGATTCCTGCAAGTGACACGCATCAGCATCCATCAAAGGAAGGCATTGTGTAGTACCTTTGTAAGGACATCTTCTTGCCATCCACGATCAGAGGTTTGGCATGATGCAGGAGTAGGTAGCTGTGAGTCACCTGATTGATCAGCCATTCACCGATAAGAAAAAAAATGAGCTTGCCTGTGGGGGACCTTGTTGTCGTGGTGTTCGCTTTTCTTGCGGAGGGACCTTACCCACACGTGGTCTTAAATCCAGTGGGACAGTGGGCAATGCTTTGGACAAAGAGACATTGTGTGCCGAAAACTGCAGGGGACATTCAGATTAGCTTGTGTGAAAGAGACAATGAAATAGAAATACCTGGGTCCCATCATGCAGAGACACTCTCCTGCGGATTGGCTTACTTTTAGCTTGATTGCCTTGGCGCCGATCTTCGCGATCTTGGGCTTCCTCAACTTGATATAATGCCTTCTCAGAGGGACGTCGTTCCCGTCGGTCACGCTGTGAGGGTGCAGTGTCAGTATTGTTGATCAATCTAGCAAGTGCTTGGCGAGTTGGGCCTGTGGAGGACATCTTGTTAGAAATATCGGTCTAGAACAGATGAGAGATTGGGTGATGAACGTACTGTTTTATAGGATGGGACACATCCAGTCACAGGTCACTGGGAAGAAATGATGAATCAACAGACCATGCATGATCAACATCACGGTCGCGTCATGTAAAGTCACGTCATTGGCTGCAAAGTAAAAATTTTATGGTCAACAATCGCGTCAGGTCACACTGGTCACTGCAAAGAATCAACAAACCATACACGGTCGCGGCACGGTCGCGTCGAGTCACATTGCCTTCAAAGGCTCATTTTCATGTCTAATTTCATATGTCAGCGAGTCTCGATCACAATCAGGCAAAATGTCACTCATTCGGCGCTGTGGGCCTAGAAATCAGTCTGAATCACAATCAACACTCAGAACTCAGAACTCACTCGGCTTTGTCGGCTCATTGCTGCCTTGCTCACTCATGTCTTCCCGCTGTAATTTTTGCCTCAAAGGCTTCAAAAGTTCTCGAGCCGTTAGTATTCACATCGCAAATGCACCAGCCTGCAAGCGCCATATAAAAGGGGTCCGTGAACGCGCTGAGCACCAAGAAGAGGCACCTGGTGATAAACGTTATGAGGTGCTTATGGATGTTGATGGAGGAGACGTACCATTCCACAATGACAATGACACCAACCCCATTCCAGACGTGCTACCAAGATCACCCAGTGTACAGGCTGAAGAGGTTGAAGATGAGGAAAGAGTTTGGATGCGGTTTATCCAGACGTACCCAGGACAAGTAGCACAGACGCTTGGCCAAGCCAAAACGTTGTTTGACAGCATAAGGGCTGAACAAGAAGCGCAAGGTCTTGATCCATGGGGGCCTTTTGCAGATGAAGAAGAATGGGGTCTGGTGAAGTGGCTGATAGCGAGGGTAGGGCAGACTGCAATTGACGAGTTTATGAAACTCCCGATTGTGAGTGATATATACACATTATGAAACTTGACACTTACTTTGAACATTGGCAGACTGGCCACCTGAAGACGTCTTTTACCAGCAAATACTTGCTGATGAAGGCTATCGATAAACTGCCTCGTGGAACGGAATGGCAGCTCAAGAGAATCCAGGTCAAGGGAAACTCAGGACAGGCTGAGGGCGAAGATCTTGAATTATGGTTGAGGAACCCTGTGGACTGCATACGTGAACTAATGGCCAATCCGGAGTTTGACGGCAAAGTATCATACTCACCTGAGAGGGTGTTTGCGGATGCTGAGGGTACAGTTCGTCAATATGACGAAATGTGGACTGGAGAATGGTGGTGGGAGACACAGGTAAGTGGTTGGGCGTCTTAACGGAACTGAAAGACTCACTAAATCTATTTGATCAGCGAAGATTACCTGAAGGGGCAGTAGTCGCACCTGTCATCCTCGCATCGGATAAAACCTCGTTGTCGCAGTTCCGCGGTGATCAAGAGGTGTGGCCTGTCTATCTGACACTTGGCAACATATCCAAGGATGTTCGTCGTCAACCATCAAAACACGCTGCGGTGCTAATCGCTTACTTACCTGTGACGAAGTTGGAGTGTTTCTCCCGAGAAACTCGGTCACTGGAACACTACCAGCTGTTCCATTACTGTATGTCGCAAGTCCTGGAGCCACTCATCAGCGCTGGCAATGACGGGATTGAAGTCACTTGCCCTGATCGCAAAGTTCGGAGGATGCACCCCATTGTTGCAGCATATGTGGCGGACTTCCCCGAACAATGTTTGGTGGCCTGCTGCATGGAGAACAGGTGTCCAAAGTGTACTGTGGGGCGCAATGAGCGTGGCGGAATGACGAAGTCGGGAGTGCGCAAACAAGATTTGACATTGGAAAATTTACGCTTGCATCAAGATGGCGAAATGAGTAATGGTCAGTTTGAGGGAGAACTAGGACTACGAGCAATCTACTCACCATTCTGGGCAACACTCCCGCACCACGACATCTTCTCGTGCATCACCCCCGACATTCTGCACCAGCTGCACAAAGGTGTTTTCAAGGATCACCTCGTAAGCTGGTGCTCTGAGATCATAGGCGAGGAGGAACTTGATGCGCGTTTCAAGGCAATGACATCGTATTCGGGCCTGTGACACTTCAAGAAAGGAATTTCGAAACGAAAGCAATGGACGGGGGCCGACTATAGAGAGTTGCAGCGGGTTTTCCTTGGGGTAATTGCTGGTGCTGTCGACAATCAAATTCTTGCTGCAGTGCGTGGCGTGTTAGATTTTATTTACTACGCACACGGACGTGACACTTTCACGTATGCATAACGCACTTGCATCATTCCACACCAACAAGAACATATTCCTCGATCTCGGAGTGCGGGAGCACTTCAACATTCCCAAACTCCATTCGATGCTTCACTACATCGATGCCATTCGTCTGTTTGAAAGCGCAGATGGCTTCAATACCGAGCTTCCTGAACGTTTGCATATCGATTTTGCGAAGCGTGCATACCGTGCCTCTAATCGACGCGACTATGTCATCCAGATGACTACCTGGTTACGACGTCAAGAGTCGATTGCCATTCAAGAAGCTTACCTTCGATGGTGGGCTTCGCAACAACCTGCTGATGGTGATTCGGTGCGAGATGAGTCAGATGCCAGTACCTCAGACTCGGACCTCGATGGACCTGCGCCTACAGCAGCCAACTTCATTATTTTACCTCATCAAGCACAACGCTTCACGATGCTGACAGCGTCAAGGGGGTACTTTGTTCCCAGAAGGTGTCCATTCCCCAACTCTACAATCCAACGCTTGCTTGACGAACACGGCGCTTCTCTTTTCATCCCTGCGCTCGAAGATTTCCTTCGTAACCATGTGCAAAATTCGTCGCGCAGAAAGCTCACTCCACAAGACCGGATTGATGTCTACAAATACCTGAAAGTCCTCTCACCAGCGCGGCCACACATAAACATCGCAAAATGTTTATTTAAGGTACGCGCAGCACCAGTCATTCCATCTAAGGATGCGAGGAAAGGACCAGCACCTGCGCACTTTGACACGGTGCTTGTGATTGAAGATCAGGGCCAGTACACTGGGGAGGGAATATCGGGTGAGTGTCATCATTTGATGATTGTCTATGGTTTCTCACTACACTAAGTCAGGTCTTCGCGTTGGTGAAGTAAAGGTGATTTTCGACATCCCATCGTGTTTCGGACATTTTCCCCACCCCCTTGCATATATACACTGGTTCCAGCCTCTTCAAACATTTGATGCAAATTTGCACAGTTTCAGGCTCACCAGGTCTTCTCGGCACCGGGGACCTAATGCCGTCGTTCTACCCGTGAATCGAATTCTGCGACCTTGTCAGCTTGTTCCTCGGTGTAGAAACAACAATACTGAGAGGAACAAATGAATGCTCCAAACTGTATCTATAATGTTGTGAGGTCGCGCGTTGCCTAGTCTGCTATTCTTGAGAAGACAAGTACGTTCGACCCTAAAGGGGAAGCGAGTGCAGCAAGGTTCTAGGAGTAGGCGCTGAAGGCGCTACTGGTCGGCCAATGCGAAGCGCGAGAAAGCGCGCAGGTGCGCGCGAGGCGCGGGAAAGCGAAGGTACGCGCGAGGCGTGGGAAGCGCGCGTGAGCGGAGACAAGTGAGAGTAAGTGTGAGTTTGCTTAAGTGGTGATTAGATGAATAACAAGAGATACGAGCGCGAGGTGTCAAAGAATAGATTGCAACTATATTCTCTAGGTGGTAAGTGGGTAAGTGGGAGGTAGAGTCTAAGTTGGAAAAGTTCCCTAATAGTATGTAATGCTGGCGCTTATATACGACGCCTAAGCGCTGTCACGCGGAGCCGAAGCGCTACCGAGTAAGGTATGTAAAGATATATGTATGTAAGTAAGGGTCCATGATATAAATAAAGGTGGAATGATATGTAAATAAGGGAGATGGAAATACACGCACTAGAGAGCTTGGTGGACAGTGGATGGATGCTTCCGGAAAGCTGGCGCTATAGGGCGACCAAGCGCGGGAAAGCGCGCGCACGTATACATCTTAAAGCGCGGGAATGGTGCGCGCATGGCGCGCATTGCGCTCCCTAGTGAATACTGCCATATCACACCATGAGAGGCATGAGTCTCTACATCGGTTCACTCGAGATGGGTCAGAAGAGTTCTATTTGAATAGATACATTGACTTAGATTTGTTCGAGCGTCTGTCGTAGAATAGCTAGTGTAGCGCACGTTGCATAGCTGGTGTAGCGCTAATATTATATGGTACGGAAATTGGCTACTATATCTACAGTTTGAGGTACAGCGCGCTACATAGTGCTACGTGATGTGTGTGGGTGCGATGTTGAGCTATCGAGGGTATGTGGGGCTATGTAATCTTGCAGGATGCCAATGGTGGGTGACCTTTTTCCTGATGGGTGTTGAGCTGAAGATGGACTCGTTACTTGTCCTCTTTCAAATGCTAGTTCTTCTTGAGAAGAGATTCTGAGTGTGTCTTTCTTTTCGATAACATTTGAGCTGAACGTTCTAGACTATCCAGAATCCCATTGATACTTTTTTTAATTGATTTAGACACATTGTAATTAGACTACCACTAATGCTTGATCTGTCCGTTGGCTTCGCAAAGCTGCTCTGTCCGTTGGCTCCCCCAAGCCGCGGCCTGGTTGGGCCCAAGCCCCGGCTTTGGGCTGGCTTGGGCTCACGGCCTAGGCTCTGAATTTTTGTGAGCCTAAGCCCTTCGAAGCCGAGCCTAAGCTGGGGCTTTGAGCCTAAGCCGGGCCAGAACATCACTAGGAGCAGCCACCCCATGTACAAATTGTACTGATGCTGTCTGGACCAGTGATGCCGTGGCTTCACAGATGAGCAGACATGGCACTGGTGGTTCCCTCTACATACAATCCGCAGAGGTCCCCCTGCAGTTGACACTTATACAGGATGACCGGCTGACCGCTTTGACTTGCTCGTAAAATTGTTTCCGGATCCACGTGAACGATATCGAGAGGCATGCTGTGGCCAATGGTTAAGGGGACGTGCTTGTGGACGGTGGTCACAAGGATGTGCTGCATGGTGGATTAGCAACAACTTGAGTTGTTCTTTGGTGCTAAATGTACCACAGGGACTATTCAAGTAGAGAGAGAGCTAAGTGACCAAAGGTTTTTGACATACTTGCCTTTCGGTTGCAGACATTTTAAGCCATTCTGAATGATATGGCATGTTCTAGCCAGCGTGAATGTGAGTACTAGTATCAAAGGAGGTGACTGGGGTCTACGCAAAGAGTCGAGCTCAGCGCTCAACCATGATGTCATTATTAGGACTGGTCCCGCAACTATTTCACATCAGCAAACTAAAACAGCCTGTACAGAGCTGTACAGAGCTGTACAGTATCCCAGCTCCCTAGCTTGGTCCCTACTACCTAGCTTGCTACAGTGGCAGACTTTTCTGTCAATCTCTGTACAGATGCCCACAGACATGCCCAGTGAGCACCAAATAACCCTCAAATAGTCCTGGTTTCCTCTGTCCATGTCTGTACAGGCCCTCACAGATCACTCAAGGAACAGAAATTGTGCAGATAATGCTCCCTATACACCTTATTCACTCTGTACAATAAATAGCCGCAGATAATATATATTGATTCTCGGATGCAACAGATCAAGAGAAACGGTATGGAGTACAACTAAGAGCAGCGGAGAACTGCAATTCAGGCGCGGAATACAAAGAGTTAGTCCAGGACGACCTGGAGATCATCATGTTTGGCCTCTGCTGCACCACCGTCGAGCTTGATATTTTCAGCCCTGTATGAATGAAATCAGTTTAAAGTTTTTGGCACAAAAATAACTCACCATCCAGCTTCAGCCCATTCTCGAAGTTGTTCTAACAATCTAGGGCCGTGATATTCGTCCTTGAGGGTATCTTTGATGATTTGGATCATTTTGCGGTAGATGGGAGAGTATTCCTTCGAGGAAAAATTGGGATAACATTTACCATTCCCGTTCTTCTCGAGACCATCAAAAACGCAATGGAACTGTAGAGAAAAAAAATCAACATATGGGCATGACATCGGGGAGAGAACACGTTACCACTGTGGCAACTAAGGCCAAACACGATATGGGTAATTGCGTGCAGAACTTCTCTGGCTGCCTCCGCGCGATCTGGTAAGGCCCTGTGTAAAAAAAGGCTATGCAGGTATCACGGAGGGCAGGATGGGCCAAATTCCTCGTTTTCCCCTGTCGATTTTGTTGTGAGTAAGGTTGCAATTAGTACAAGATCACTTACATTTTGGTCTACTCCGAACCGTAAAAATGAGCCACCCTTGAGTAAATCTTTAGCGGCCCTTTCGACCCAAGTTGCACGTTGTTGAGGAGAAATGGAAGGCGGAGGCAAAAGTGAGTATGATAACGGTGCGATGCTTATCGCGGTTTTCTTCAGATCTGATCGCCAAGTCGACAGGTCGTCGTACAACTTCAGTACAAACGCGTCAGCGAGGCATCAGCATAGATGTAAATAATCCACGTACCAACCGTGTCATATTGTATTGCTGCTCCGGCCAAACCCCTGCACCAAGGTATGAAATGGATTAGTTCGGCAAAAAACAAGCACATACCAGCCTCGAATTGTCTACCGCTCTTATCCCATGCAACCAAAACTGAAACTAGAACCTCAGAGATGGTTCCCGGCATCCCCTTGACTAAAGGTGGGAAAGGGTTTTCCAGGGCATGCTGAGCGCGACACTCTCCTTTAACCTCCTCGAGGAAACTTTTCCAGCGTGGCCCGTACCAAGCCAGTTGGTCAGGCCTCGGCCCACTTTCAGATCCCTTGGATCTCTTGGATCTCGACTGACTCCCAGCATTGGCCAACTCCGCCACTTGATTCAGCAGCTGGAGCGATTCAGGGTCGGGAAGGCGGGGCTGACCGTTTTTATCCTGATGGCGCTTCAACACATCATCGGGGAGGTTCGAAGTAGTAGTCTACAAAAAAAACCATGAGCTTGATCTAAAACAAATTTGCACCCTCACCTGAGGGCCCGATTGTTCCCTCTGCACTCTTGGCAAGGTACCCAGAGACTTAGAAGGCGAGAAACTGTGAGTGTGATCTAAATGAGTAATGAAAATCATACCTGGTTGGTGTTGTTGAGATGCATTCGGGAAGTGTCGTCATCTTCATCGCGTGAGTATTGGAAGTCGAAATCTGGCATGAGAGGGCGAGCAATTCGAGTCTGAGTGGGTAGTTCTTCAGCCAAAAATCCTGTAGATGTAAGACTCAGTCAGTGAAGGTACTTTAGACGCGAAATTCTTACCCGGATGTCCTTTGTGCTGTCGACGAGCCTCCCCCCAACCAAACTGCTGTGATTCGTTATTATCTCCTTCGTCTCCATCTTCTTCGTCTTCTGCGTCATCAATGTCGTCTATATCGGTAGTGCTACTGCTGGATTCGCTGTCCTCCAGGTCGGATCCTACCAGTCCTGCACAAAGTGCTTGGCTAACATCATGCTCCTTGCGTAGGGCTGGGTCCAGGTTGTGCTCTGAAAAGGTAGCAGCAAGTGGACGCTGGGAACTGTGAGCATAATCAATGAGAGCGTTCTTATTACGTTTTTCGGTAACCTTCATTCCCATAGCGAGATATGAGTCGTTAGAGGCTTGAGGACTGGGTCCCACACCAGGTGTGGTGGTCGAAGCTGCAAATACGAACCTCCCACCGCCTTTCTGCAATGAAAAGCTGGGAACTAGAGTACTAACATCGAGGTTCGTGGACTCAGGACTGTATGGTGGAGGCTGCACCTAAATGCGCAATCAGCACTATCTATAACAAAAGTTGTGTTGTACCTTTGGACGACTCTTCCGGCCTTTACGAGGCGGTTCTGGAGCCTGAGGATTCAGGGGATTGAGTGTGCTAAGAGATGTAGCGCCCTTAGGTTTCCGATTCTGGGACCGAGACTCTAAAACTACCCTGATCTTCTCCAGCTGGGTGTTCCTACCCCCTGTCCCTGCATTAGGACGGCCAGAACGTCGAGGAGCAGTGTCTGTAGCATCAACTTCAGTGAGACCGAGAGACACGAGCGGCATGCTGGAAATTTCGGAGAGGTTTGTAGCACGATGCCTCTTCGGTGAAGTAGCCTTGTCGTTGTGCATTGCACTAGCATCGTCGGCATCGACGTCGTATCACACCAACTTCGTATGTTTTTGTAGAACATTGTATAGCATCACACCAACATCGTGTCGTATCACACCGACATCGCATTACATCGCACGAAGAACGCACTACATTGCATCCGACTCATGCAAATACAACTCCTATGACAAGTATGTACTATTCACGCATCCACTTTTACCAAACTGATCAACTACTCTAGAATGTTTCCCAACTCGAGTTCAGACAGGCAGCTCTATGTCTGTGTTTGCAGCAAGCACAATCTCGGGCAACCTCACCAAGTTTCGAAATCCACCTGGCACAGACATTTAGAAGCTGCTACTACGGAACAGGAACGAGAGAGGATACGATCTGGTAGAGCACTACAGGGACATAGTATTCCACTGGAAACAAATGTCGGGGCTGCAGGCAACACTGCACCTGCCGGCAACTCAGATAGAATGTCCTTGCCTCCAAGTGCTCGTCGTGTGGCCGCACTTCGAGATCTTGTCAAATGAGCTAGGGACGAGGAAGATTCTAGACGCACTGCTCAGCGTGACAAATGCGCACGAGTTGGGCATCAAGATGTTCAAGAGGTATCTGTATATCTATTAGTATCTTTGACTCAGATGGAGTGCTAACTCTTTGATTTTCAGCGAAATAATTCCCCAGATCTGCTGCAGCCTCTGCACCCAGACGAGCCTCCGCACCCAGACCCACCCCCAGACCCACCGCAGCCTCCTGACCCAGACGAGCCTCCGCACCCAGACGCACCCCCAGACCCACCACAGCCTCCTGACCCAGACGAGCCTCTGCACCCAGATAAACCCCCAGATCCACTGCAGCCTCCTGACCCTGACGAACCTCTGCACCCTGACGAACCTCCGCACCCAGACACACCCCCAGATCCACCGCAGCCTCCTGACCCAGACGAACCTCCGCACCCAGACGAACCCCCAGATCCACCGCAGCAACAGCAACAGCAGTACGAGATTAGAATAGAGCGCCGGCAGCGACCCGACATTGATATTGTTGCTCTGGCACAAAGTGCCGTTGTAGAGACTCGTGCCTCGCATTGTGTGATATGGCACTTTCCACTAGGGAGTACACAGCACGACTTGCAGCATCACTCTGTGTGCTATCCACAGCTATTCCCTTACGAGGCGCAGCTTTCCCGCGCAAGGCGCAGCATGCGCGCATGACTTCCCGCGCTTTACGATGTATACGCGCGCGCGCTTTCCCGCGCTTCAGCGCCCTATAGCGCCAGCTATCCAGAAGCATCCATCCACTGTCCACCAAGCTCTCTAGTGCGTGTATTTCCATTTCCCTTATTTACATATCATCCCACCTTTATTTATATCATGGACCCTTACTTACATATAGCTTTACATACCTTACTCGGTAGCGCTTCGGCTCCGCGTGACAGCGCTTAGGCGCCGTATATAAGCGCCAGCATTACATACTATTACGGAACTTTACCTCCCACTTACCACCCACATACTACCTAGGAGAACATAGTAGAAATCTATTCTTTGACACCTCGCGCTCGTATCTCTTGTCTAGTATCTAATCACCCCTTAAGCAAACTCACTCTTACTCTCTCTCATTACCGCTCACGCGCGCACGCGCTTCCCGCACCTCGCGCGTACCTTCGCTTTCCCGCGCCTTGTGCGCACCTGCGCACTTTCTCGCGCTTCGCATCAGCCGACCAGTAGCGCCTTCGGCGCGCACTACTAGATCCTTGCTGCACTCGCTTCCCCTTTAGGGTCGAACACACTTGTCGTCTCAAGTATAGCAGACTAGGCAACGCGCGACCTCACAACATTTACAGATACAGTCTGGAGCATCATTTGTTCCTCACAGTATTGTTGTTTCTACACCGTTCTTCCCAAAATCCGAGAAATAATGAATTTCATCCTTGCTATAAGGAACGCCTCACTCAATGACCCAATTGTAAATTTGAGTGATGATGCCCTCGAGCAGCTCCGCAATCCCCCCCAAGGACCTATCGTGATCGATAGCCCAGGAGTACGCCAGAGTATTTCAATGTACCTTGCACTCGAGCATGCCTCGCAAGATGCATACAATCGCATTTGCAGAGCCACCACACATAACTTTGCTGGTGCAGATGGTGTCGACGACCTCCTCAGCTTCTATAGTGTGGAGAAACTCATTAGTCAGTTGAATCGATCAAGCACGATATGTGCCCAAAATCTTGCCTTGCATTTACCGGCCCATATGCAGACCTGGATAACTGTCCTATGTGTACCACATCACGTTGGGACCAGGCGAAGCTTCAAGCAAGCAACAGACGCAGTAGAGTCGCCGCTCAGAAGTTCATCACTATCCCTCTTGGCCCGCAGCTCCAGTCACTGTATCGTGATCCTGAGAATGCATGGAGTATGCAATATCTTCATGAACGCACGCAGGAGATTCTTGCACAAATAGAGAGAACCATGGAGATTCCGATCGTGGATGATATTACCATGGGTTATGATTACCTTGGAGCAGTTCTTGACGGCGACATCAAGGAAAACGACATAGTTCTCATGGTATCGCTCGATGGGGCACAGCTTTATGAGAGTAAACAATCTGATTGCTGGATGTACGTGTGGGTTATCCTAAACCTGGCTCCCAACAAACGCTATCGTAAACTGCATGTTCGCCCAGGCAGGTTTATACCAGGCCCTAACAAACCTAAAAATGTAGACTCCTTCCTCGCTGTTGGTCTTCACCACCTTGCAGCACTTCAAAACGAAGGACTTACTGTCTGGGACGCCTCTCGTGATGTCTGTTTCATCTCCAATCTCCATCTCCTTTTCACGACTGCTGACGGCCCTGGACTTGTGTATTGGGACGGCATGGTTGGACACAGTGGAAAGAATGGCTGCTGTATCTATTGTGGAGTCAGAGGCAGACGCAAAACTCGCATGACGCACTATTACCCTGCACTTCTCAAGCCACAAGATCGGTGTGCCAAGGGTAGTGACCATCCAGACATTGACGTGTGCAGACTTCCTCCGGGAGGATCTTCAGACTATACTGAAAACCTACGTCAGCTTGTAGCATCTCCAAATCAGCGGCAGCTGGACATGCGAAAAACGGAGACAGGTATTACGAAGCCTCCTCTCATCATGGGCCTTAGCCCTTCTTGTTGTCTCGGCATTCCACACTGCATGACCACGGACATCATGCACCTTGCTGGAAACTTAAGTGATCTGTGTCTCGATCTCTGGCGTGGAACAATCGATTGCGGCCCCACAGATGATGTAGCCACATGGGACTGGGCAGTTCTTCAAGATGCAGAAACCTGGAGCGCACATGGAGAATCAGTGGAACGTGCAGGTCCATATTTACCCCCCTCATTTGACCGCAAACCACGGAACGTCGCCGAAAAAATAAACACAGGTTACAAGACATGGGAGTTCCAGCTCTACATGTTTGGTCTCGGCCCTGCATTGCTCTACAATGTTCTGCCTCAGCAATACTGGGCTAATTATTGTAGGCTCGTCCGTGGCTTTCAACTCATGTGCCAACACGCCATCACTACACAAGATCTCCAACAAGCCAATGTACTTCTTTGTGCCTGGGAGCGGGAATTTGAGCTTATCTACTATCAACTCAGAGAAGATCGCCTGCACTTCGTCCGCCCCTGCGTCCATCAAACTAACCATCTCGTCGCGGAGACCATTCAGAAAGGTCCACCTGTGTGCTACGCACAATGGACAATGGAACGGATGATTGGTAACCTTGGCCAAGAGATACGCCAACCATCGCGGCCTTATGCAAACTTGTCACAGGAGGGGGTTCGCCGTTGTAAAGTGAATACCCTTCTATCTATTATACCTGACCTCGATGAACCTGCAAAAGGTCTCCCAGAAGGTTCGGTAGACCTAGGTGATGGGTACGCACTATTGCGAAAATGGGACAGGTACATGTTTTCGCCAGTTGGAGCTGCTGCACAAGCTATGCACGATTTTATTGGGGATGGACAGGAACTTCCTCGTATTAAACGTTGGGCTCGACTTCTCTTACCTAATGGACAAATTGCTCGTTTGGCATGGCGAGAGATGCTCAAATCATTGGATCAAACACGCATGTCGCGCAATGTGAAGGTGAGCATTTCTGGTATTACATTTTGTAAAATACTGATGTACTGTAGCTAAAATACGATGGGCAGATTCGATTTGGTGAAGTTTTATACTTCACCAGGTTGTCAGTTGAAGCCGACCCTGACGATGATTGTGACTGGCGTTTTGCAGATGTGGCCATCATTTGTCTGTACTCCCATCCAGACGAAGACCTCCTCCGGCTCTCCTCGCAGACCGTTGTATCTTGCTCCCAACTTGAGGACATCTATGTTGTTGATGTGAAGCAGATCCTCAGTGTGGTTGCTATGATTCCGCACACACCAACATTACCATCAGGAGTTACGGAGGCCCGATGTAGAAACAACAATACTGAGTGGGGCTATACGAAGATGGCTCCAAACTGATATATTTGTGTTGTGGTCTTTGCACTGCCTAGTCTGCTATACTTGCCTGACAAGTGCGTTCGACCCAGGGGTCTGCGGTCTGGGAATAGTCTTGGGGGTAAGTGAGTGATGTGGGGTCAATAGTCCGAGCGCGAGAAACAATGTCCAAAGGTATAATTACGATGTCCGATGCAAAAGCGTTGGGTCCGATGTTTTTGGGGTTTCGGGCTATCGGGTTCGGGTTCGGGGTGTCGGAAACTAATAGTAACGCTATAGCGAGCGTCGGAAGAGCGAGCGGTGTGCGCAATAATAACAATGACTGATACGGATAATGAAAGAGCGATGATATTCGCAATATCAACTAAGAACTACGAAATATTGGGTTTGACCACTAAGCGTCGGGGAACTGCTCCCCTCTACTTGGATAATCAATAATGCTCGAGGTCAGTCCAATATATATGTAAGTACGTAGAAATGCGGAACCCGTAGGCGAAAGTAGCGGCGGAGTATTTCGGATCCGAAGTACATGTAAATAAACATGAGGCACTGCGGACTATGGGAAAACATGTAATAGCGCTGGCTACGACGTGAGTTAATGTGCGAAATAATGGAATACACACCTAGTGGGGCTAGCAAGACAGGACGGGACACGGATAGGACAAGTGCGCGGGAAAACATCGGGTCTGATGCGGCCTAAATGTCGGGTTGGCGGGTTAGCGTCGGATAACATCGGGAAGTGATTAGCATGTGACGGGTATTTGACGTGTACTGTAAAATAGCTCGATACGAGCCCAGCGCCAGCTCGTGTCCTACACCGATTTTTCATGATGGAGAAGCCAGGATTAGATATCTCGCCTCTCAGTGGAAATGCCGCTAATGTCAATCATTTGGATGATAATGATAATGCTCCAGATGTGGAGTAGTCAGGTGCTTGTTTCATTACAATTCGAGTTACATTGCAAATATAATAATGACAATACGAGTTATAGAGTTATTATCATGTGAGGTATCGGTTACAACAGAGTGCAAAATTAGACGAGCAGAGCAGAATATGTGAACAAAACATCACAAAGCGGCATGCATCAAAAAAAGAATGGTCGTGATCGTTCCAAAAACGATTGGGAGTCAATACCCTGAATACTCCTCGAACTTACATTTCCGCTCTTGAATATCTGCTACCTTCTGCGGAATCTCAGATGGATCAAAAAGTCGGATGATGTGACGCCAAGGGCGGGACTGTGGACGTAAGATAGCCCTTGTTAATGGATCTGGATTTCCCCCAATCTGAGGTAGATGTCTGCACGGTGTAGGGATTCATTTCTGGCTGGGCTTGTAGAGACTGTTTTTACCTTACCTTATGTTGGCACTTTTGTAGCTTACATAAGCAAGTTATCTTTTCACCAGTTACCAGTAGGAGTCAGAGTACTAAGCAGTTTTTCATGATATTTCCTCTCCTCTGAGCCTTGAGCCTGGTCCAGAAACCCTTTAGGGTTGAATAGCAGCTAGGTTCTGCAAGACCCAACATTGTTCAGACTCACTCTCTGAATTGTTGTACCTTCAACGGCATTGCAGTACACCCTGTCCATGACCTAGAAAAATCTAACTTGAAATGAATGTCACATAAACAGTCGAAAACGTACCTCGCAGACAGATCCAACAAGTTGTTATCCTCCTGCTTTATTTTGAGATCCTCCCCTTCGGCTATCATGGTATCATCTTCTTCAAACTTCACTGCATCATTGCACTCTGCTTCTTTCTCCTTCAGCTCGCTCTCAGTTTGGACAGCACTGTAATACATAAATCAAATGAATCTGTTTGATGATGATTCAAATACTCACTGTGTCATGCTTGGTTTCGGCTGAGGGTCTGCACCTTCACGAAGACGGAAAACAATAGTCTAAAAGATTATGATATATATTAGTTAAGCCGAAAGAGAAAAGATTGACCTTGGTTCCGGGAGTATCAAATGAGACTTTGACGCAGTAGTGATTCCAGTTAGGCAGGACACCATCAATCTCTAGGAAAACAACATCTCCGCATACATCCGCAGTATGAGTCTTATCCACAAGTTCATTAGTTGAGGACATAATAATAATAGTGGAATATTGAAGTGAGAGTTTAAATGAGTGCGTGGATTTGGACTTTGAGATAATCAGCTCTAGAGTTACGGCGGAAAAGTCCGGCGGAGCTTTTATTATTGGCCTTGCTAGTTACTAGTATATGTCGAAGTCTGTCTCTTACCAGACTGTCGACCATGTTTCCATCCAGTGACAGTGGGGGCTCTTGTTTTAACAGCGGGTCTTTCTTTCATGCTACACCCTCTAGTAATAATCAACAGGATCATCCACATTGGGGAGGATACTCCCCCTCCCCCCTATCTCCTGGTGTTCCTATGTCGTTACCAGAGGATCCCTGCACGGATTCAATTACACCACATCTGCAACGGTTCTCACAGGTAAGTACTCTGTGACTGGTTCTTACGCTTATAAATGTATTTTTAGGGCGCATATATGCAGCTTAGTATGCAGGAGAATCAGCAAATGCTGGCCTTGCATGAACACTGCAAGGTGTTGGAGCTGCAAATAGTCAAATTGACTAGCGAGCATGACACACTCAAGTATATGTTCACCAGCGAGTCTTCATTTGTTCAAACTGATCATTTTTAGATCAATGTTTCAGCAGCTCACAAGCGCTATTCGGCTACCACAAACAGACTTAGGCCTCGAGCTTGATTCCATCATTCCTCCAGTACAACCTGTCACTAAGCACCCTACCCACCTAACTCATCCATATGTTCAATTTTGGACCAACGAAGACTTCGTAGCATGGCTGGATTCTCCTGATGGCCGTCGAACCAACCGCAGGAAAGTACCATACCTTGAGGACGAAAACGGTGACCCACTTACAGATACAATAATCAAGGCTATTCGGAAGCTGCTTCGCGGTGCTTGGGCCGAACTTATCAGGCGCAAACTTGCACCAAAGACGTGGGGTAAAGCATCTGCAACTGCACGACAGGTTGTTCACACCCTGCTGGAGAACACATATCCGTTGTTTAAGTTTGCTGATGATGGTTGGAAGCTCGATTATCTCATCAGCACCTCATATTCTGCCTGGCGACGAAATCATGTTGATGACCATGGAAACTGGAAGAAGAAGAACATCGATGATGATGATGAGGAGGAGGAGGAGGAGAGTAGCGGATGTTCTTTCAACGCCAAGGGTAAGAAACGTAAGCAGTCGAAGAACTCTTTCAAGTCTAACGTTCCCGAGAAGAAAATAAAAGGTATGACTTCAATATAACGCATCATCCTACTAACTATCCTCTGTAGTCAATCCTATTCCTATTAGCGAGCATGTGCTGCTCTCTCCTAGTCCAAGTCTTGCTCCTTCTCGAGCACCGTCTCCGAATTTACCACTAGCTCCACTGTCCCCGACTATGTTGCCCCTGCAATCACTCGATTTACTAGATGCACCATCTCCAAAGTTGCCTGACACTGCAGCTTCCCCAAAGTCTGTTCAAATTTTGCCAACCACGACAGAGAAGCAGAGTATCCCCCCGCCAGTACCTAGTACCACAGTTGCTGTGCCAACCGAGAAGGAGAATATTCCCCCGCCACCAGTGGCAGCACCTAGCATTGCACCACAGCCAATCATTAAAATCAATATGACAAACCCACTGTATGTTTTTTGTGCTGTTTTTGTCAATCATTGAGCAACTTGAATATGCTTCAATAGTTCTACACTCGCTCTAGCTGCTGTCGGCACGATGATACCACCTCTCCCACCCTCTATTGATCCTCCTCCGAGTCTTTCAGCTTCTGGCTCAACGTCTATAAAGGGCCCAGGCAAGGCTGGTGATGCCGCAAATGGGAGGGGCAGCAAAATCAGCAAGGGTAAGATGCGTCCAAGTCAGACTAGAAATGGACGGTACGTGGATCCTTCAAATTGCACTAATCACACTACTTACGAGTTTCTAGTAATCTATGTGCACATCGTTGGCTCAAGCAAGTCGAGAGCAACAAGACAACAGAAGAATTTTGTGTTTATTACGGGGATCTCTCTGCGGACCAGCGCAAGGTAAGTCATTTTGTCGCCGTATATACATGCTTATGATATTCATGGTGAATTTCAGGAATACAATAATGAGGCAGCAGAGCTAGTGAGTCACATGTCTCTGTTGTGCCAGTTGTGTTTTTGACACAGCGTGCAGGTTGCCAACAACACTTGGGACAAGACAGTCTACGAGGGCACATTGCATTAGACTTACCCCATTCCTCTCCATCGCATGTTTCAGATTCAGTCTCATTAGACTTCCCCCGCTCTCCGCCGCATGTTTCAGATTCGGTCTCATTAGACTTCCCCCGTTCACGGACTCTTTCCAACGCACTTTCGATACCTTCACGCACCCATTGTCGACATGTTTTCATAGCTGTTTGTTATTTTAGTGCTCCCAGTTGTACAATATTATCACATCCGATGCTACCTGCGCATATTTCGAGACGCGAATGAAAAGCATGCGATACACAATAAAATCATATTTGAGACTATTCGAGCACATTCTGATACAGCACCGAGATTGTTTGACTATATGCTACTACATGATTCTGATGTGTTTTCGCAAAAAAAAAACATATGAGGGCATTAGGGATCTCGCGCCAACATATAGAAAATGTGCGGGTTGTCCCACTTTATAACCGGAATGTGCCCTGCTAGTATCACTTTCATCAACACATCCCAACACATACAGTCCTTTCCCGTCATAACCAGTTCTTACTGGGGCTGAACACCTTTCGTAGTGACAGTCACAGCGGTTATTAGTTGTTTGCCGTGAAATGAATACTAATTTTCAATTTCATATTACAAACCCCCAGGTTGTGGTGTTTGTAAAACATTCACACTAGAGTCGATTATTTGAATGGACTTATTTCAGACGAGAGAACTGTCCGAACTAAATGTTATTCGGGGGTGAAAGATCAACTGAGAAACTATGGAGAAATGGTGCCTTGTAACGATGAAGGCTTTTTAGGAATGCTACACGGGTCTGTCAAACATGTCCTAAGCAATTATATATATTGAGAAACTCACGAGGTAAAGTGAAATCATTTCCAAGCGTTGTCGGGGAGTTGGGGCTCAAGCACCATTACGATTTGTATTTCCATAGTATTCGATTGCTGAAAAATTAGCCCTTACATTGATCCAGCTTCCTTGAGAAATGAAACAAGGAACCTGACGAGTCAGTGGAGGAGGGCAGATTGGCACAATATTGCACGGAGGGTCACGGTAGCCTGAGGTTCCTCAGACTATCCCCTATCACTGCAGGGAGGTGGAACACTGGAAGCAGCCTCGACATTATGAAATATTGTAGCCGACATGCACGGCTCGAGAGGCTGTCATACAGCACAACCGCACATGCATGCATGAACCTAATCCAGCGGCATCTCGGCCCAAGCCCGGTCTTTCCCCACTCATCTGCAAAGTAATCATAATCTGAAAGTTTAAATAGGTGCCGTTTCGTGATTGTGTGCAGTTCTGATTCGCGCTATCCAGAGCTCCACACGAACGCAGGCTTCTGTAGTTCATATCCGCCTAGTTTGTAAATGGTTTTCTCATCATCTTGCTATGGCCTCGGCAGTTGCAACGTTGAACGTTGAACTCCTCCTATGATGATGAACGACAGTGCCAAACAGTGCCAAACAGTGCCAAACAGCCAGTGCATCAACACGTGCACTTGCAACTAAGTAATGGATGTTTGTCCCAATCTGGCCTGCCTCCTTTGAATATCCCTTCGCATATGGGGCACGGTAATGATATGCCCCGTGGATAAATGCTTCTCCAAGTACACGTAACGCAAGCAAGATAACAATTGATAGCTGGGCAAGATAGCAAGCGGCAGGCGCAGACTGCGCAATAGACGCTGAGGTAGTGCCAGATATCGATCGGGGCCCTATCCATATATGTTTGACTCAGTGGGATCAACAAACAAAGTCAGGCGCTTGTCAATCTTCCAACTTCCCACTCGGACCCCGCAAATTGTGTCAGAGAAAGGTACAAATCTTTTTTATGTATTGTCTGTCCTCATTACATATCTTCGTTGCCCTATATATTCGTCGAGCTCGTGGTCTCTGCGAACAGCATCCTCTGTCTTTTTTTCCAACCCTGTAAATAATAAAATTCTGTCGAGGAGATACTACACTACACACCCGAGTTTTGTGGGAGAGGGTGGGACATGAAGATGAGGAAGCCTGATTGGTGTACTATGCTGCAGGGCTTGGAAGCAGAATTTGGAGCAGCGGTTATTTTCGTTGGTGGCGTCACTGCACAGCGTGTGACATAGCCACCCTTCCGTTGTCAATCCCATAGGTGGGTTGTACTAGTTTTTTGTTTCATTCTAATCTTAAATTCTTCTGCTTCGTCGCCGGACCACCCTGAAAAGTCTCAGCTCCGCTTCTGTTCAGAACTTCCGTTTATCTTATGTAAGTACAGCCTTTCAAAGAAACACTCTATTCCCTCACCCAAATGATAAAAAGGTCCTATCAATCATTGCATGAACGTTGAGGTCTTTATTGAGAGTATAGCAAGACGGTCACGCACAGCTAGACACAAAGGTACAAATATCTCAGTATTCGAGTTGAAACTTCGATTAACAAATGTTGTACCTAGACACAAAGGTACGAATCTAATATAACGTTAGACCTCGAGTTGAACATTACGAAAATACTAACTTACATCTCAGTATTCGAGTTGAAACTGAGATGTTTGGATGCGGGTACCTGGGCTTATAAGGTGAGTCTCCCAGGTACAGTCATTTAAGCTAAACTAAAAGATGGACAGCGCACGAGTTGGCCACAACACGTCGACCTCATTCTCCGTTTGGATGCGCTCGCACTTGGTGTCCTCTCCCTTGGCTCTACGCTTCGGCCGGTTGCTGCCTCTCCCTCTCGGCTCTCATCCTTTCGGCCTTGTCTCCTTCGGATTCGTCGGATCCCAACAGTCTTCACCACTGATGTAATTGATGCGTTCAGGAAGCCCACTCGATTTCATGAATGGTTCGGCCTTGCTGACTCTCACGTGCTTGCTCCGTCGC